ATTTTTGTCACATAATTATAGGTTTATATCTAGTTTTAATTCTATAATAATTAAAATTTGTTTTAAACGCGTTTATTACCGTTGGGTATTTTACTCCACCATCTTTTATTTTTGTTAAATTAACAAAAGGTTATCACACAGACATCTAGTTTTTTTAAAATAATTAAGATCTATTGCCGCAAAATCATAAAAATTAAAATATCTAGGAAAATCTTTGTCTGAGGGGTTAGGTTGGGCAACCTTAATAATATTTTGAAGATATATGTGTAAATTCCCAATGGAACACCGGAAAAGTATATCGGGTGTTCCGTTTAAAATAAAGGAGTAACTTTGCTTTTAAAAGTGACTAATGTTCTATATTAATTTTGTCTCACCCTGTATAACTTTTCGGTTGAAATTTCAATTTGGTTTAACATAGGTACAATGGTTACTGTAATTCAATATCAGGCTATATAAGGTCAACTAAAATTTAGGTAGCTGTTATCGAAATTTAAAATTAACTCTTTTTATTTTCACAAGATGTGAAATATGTCTAAATCTATGGTCTAAATCCTTAGATTTTAGGTATAAGCTTCTTTGATAAAACTCACCTTTATTTTTTTCCTAGAATCCAAAAATCAATTAATATATAGGGTGTTCCATTAGAAAAAACACAACTTTGATGTGTAACTTTTTTTGGGGACACCCTGTATAATTCTATATATTTTTATAAAATGCTTTCAGTTAACCTACATATGCGGCCAAAATTTCATTTCGATATAAAATATCGTTCTTCTTGGAGCCTCCGTGGCGTATGAGAGGCGTCACCCTGTCCCACGAGGTGTCCCAACATTCCGTGAATGGAATATTGGGACACCCGGAATACAATTCGGACCACTCTGTATAGTAACATGTCGAGATGGCTAGAAAGTTTTATACCTCAACAACAATTTTTAAATTGCTCTCTCGTTTGGCGATTCTATTTCATTTTTGTAAGAGCGAAACATTTTTTTTTGTACAATTAATCGCCTCGATTTTTTTAAAAACAACACATTGGGCATATATCTATAGGTTTCTATAAATAAATACATATGCAGGATATCCAACTGCTACGTATTTTTGGAATCAAAATAAGTTCATTGGGTACAATTTACCTCTATACAAAAGTGCTTCGTTTGTCCGCTAGAGGGCATCAAATGTTAAAAAAATAAACTCATTTCTTCATATATTTTAAGAACCGTTATTCCAATTTGAATGAGATTTTGCGTGTCTATGTTTTGGTAAGTGCTTTAATATTTGACTTATTGTAATGGTGAAAACTACCCCCACTCCTAGATAAATTTTAGTATAAGTATTTTCCAACTCCACCGACGACAGATTTTATTTTAGTATAATGGTCCCTCTAGAGTATTTACTACATTTTTTGCCTCTTGTCAAAAAGACCACATCGCATAGTTTTTTTAGAAAAATATTTTTGGGGAATTTATTTTTCCAAAGCAGACCTCTAATAAATATACAGGGGCTTCCGATATTTCATGGACATAGAACAACTACGTAGTTTTTGAATCAAAATAAGTTAGTTGCGCATAATTTACTTATATACAAAAGTGCTTCGTTTGTCCGTTAGAGGACATGCATCAATCAAAAATGAACCCGGAAGTTAATTAATTTAAAATTTATTAATTTTTTAAGCTTTTTATGAAGCTATTGTCAATTATTATTTTTGATACCAACATAAAATTCCATATTCTCGCCATCTAGATTATTCGAGCATAATAGATTTTATGTGCTTCGATAGTTTGATCTGACAAAAAAACATTTTTTGGAAGTCACCTTCTTCGTCGTGGCGTTTTCTTCTTTTTCTTTTCTTTCACTTCCATTTTACGAAAAAAAACGGTCGTTGGTCGAGTTGGAAAAAATGTATGTACTAAAATTTATGTAGGAGTGGGGGTAGTTTTCAGTCTTCCCGTATTTTTTCTTGATTTTTGAGAAAGCCAAATGGTAAAGCACTTAACAAACCAGACACCCAAAATCTCATTCAAATCGGAATGACGGTTCTTAAAATACCTGAAAAAATGTGTATTTTTATGTTTTTTTAAAGTTTGATGCCCTCTAGCGGACAAACGAAGCACTTTTGCATAGAGGTAGAATTAGAATTAGAATAAGTGGGAGGGGGGTTAATCTCTGCGACCTTAGAGATCTCTTGTGTCCCCCTTTCTTGAGTTATAACTCATCATACAGTCCCAGGACTTCCTACGGAGACCCGTGTCCCTCACAGTCGAGGAGCTACGACCCAGGCCGGGTAGACGAAACGGTAGCTTGTGTCGCCTGTTGGGTTTAGAGGTAGGAGGTAGGCTCCCGACCCTTTGCATAGAGGTAAATTGTGTCCAATGAATTTATTTTGATTCCAAAAATACGCAGCAGTTCTATGTCCACGGAATATTGGGACACCCTGTATATGTATTTATTTATAGAAACCTATAGATATATCGTCCTATTGCTGCCAAAAGTCACTAACTAACATTTTTCCGAACAACCAAATTCAATCACTAACTATGTTTTGAAGCGGACTTTGAAGCGGATAATCGATTGCAAAAGTCATTAACTACGATTTCTGGCTATTTATGTTTTATTTTAATACCGAATAGTTACTAACTATGACATCTTTATGCAATGCAATTAATCTTTAGACGCATTTTTCTCGGAAGTAATAAAAAGTAAGTTAGTGAATTTTGGCAGCAATGGGACGATATGCCCAATGTGTTGTTTTTAAAAAATTCGAGGTGATTAATTGTACAAAAAAAAACATTTTTCGCTCTTACAAAAATGAAATAGAATCGCCAAACGAGAGAGTAATTTAAAAATTGTTGTTGAGGTATGAAACTTTCTAGACATCTCGATGCGTTACTATACAGGGTGGTCCGAATTGTATTCCGGAAACTTTGGCAGCATATTCTGCAGATAAAAATAAGTAAAAAAGTTCGTATAAACGTATGTCCTAAATGCTTAGTTTCGGAGATACAGGGTGTAGAAGTTTCATTTTGTTTCAATTTTTTCCAAATAATTTCTGATGTAACGTCAATATTTGTATGAAAATTGGTGTCTGGGAGTTTTTTGACATGAGAAATTTGATTTTGATGTCAATATTACTCCTATTTGTAGGGGGCGCCACCTACATGTGTTTTAACTGTTTTAAAGAGTAATAACTTTTCGTCCTTACCTGTATAAAATTACTGAGTGAAAAAATATACATTTCCATTAATTTTTACGTAAAAAATGTCTCTTGGTAAAAATCGCTACAAGCAACCCTTCTGAAGATATGTACTTAGAACGCTTAGAACGGAAATAGTCAAAACATGTCACTATAATGACAAAAAATAAACACGTTGAGTAGATATTACAAGGATATTAGTTATTTGAGTGAAATAATAAATTTGGAATTTTTTATTTTTTTTGTTTTGTTTCAACTGTTTTGAAGCGTAATAACTTTTTGTCCGTACCTGTAAAAAAAAACTACCGAGCGAAAAAATATACCTCTCTGTGATTTTCTACGTAAAAAATATCTCTCTGTAAAAATTGCTACGAGCAACCGTTCTTAAGATATTTAGAATGGAAATAGTAAATACATGTCATTATTGACGAAAAATAAACGCGTTGAGTAGATAGTTATTTCAATGAAATAATAAATTTGGGAAATATTTGTTTTTTTTTAAATTAATCATAAATTTTTCTGTGAAAAATGTTGATAAAACAGTTTCTCTTGAACTTTTGGCACAAAAACATTTAAAATTTATGATTTTAGTCTAATAACTATTTAGTCAATATGTTTAATAATTTATGTCAATGATGACAGGTATTGATAATTTAGATTCCAAATATCTCGAAAACCATTACTCGTAGCGATTTTTACCAAGAGACCTTTTTTAAGTAAAAATCGTCGTAAATGTGTACTTTTTTACTCAGTAGTTTTATACAGTTACGGACGAAAAGTTATTACTCTTCAAAACAGTTAAAAAATATGTAGGTGGCGCCCTCTACTAGTAGAAGTCATATTGAATCATCAAAATCGAATTTCTCGTCAAAAAACTCCCAGACACCAATTTTCATCCAAATATTGACGTTACTTCATAAATTATTTCGAAAAAATCGAAATAAAAATTAAATTTCTACACCCTGTATCACCGAAACTAAGCCTTTTAGGACATACATTTATATGAACTTTTTTACTTATTTTTATATGCAGAATATCCTGTGTAACCACCCTGTATATTAGCGGGCCAGCGCACTGTTATTTATTTACATAGCTATGTTTGTGCCTGTTATTTTTGGGAAGTAACAACCTCAAGTAACAACAGTTGTATCTGATAATTTAACTCTGCTATCCCGATTTCACACGACAATCCTTGTTTATAGTTTATAAACAATGGTATACTTAATATGCTACCGTATGATCGAGAAAAAACGGCGTCAGCGATGGCTATGGAATGAAGATCGCTGTCATTTTATATGTAAATTTATATGGGAAATGTCATTGATGTTCATTTCCCAGCCAACTGGACGCCGTTTTTTTTCGATCATACGGTACTTCCAGACCTGTTATTCTATGGAAGCAATAACAATTTTTGAGAACAGTTATTTATAAATAAGGGTTTCCCAAATAAATGAAATAAAAATAACAACCTACATACCTAGAAAGGTCTAAGATATGTCTTCATTCTTCTCATTCTTATACAATGTGATCAAAACAAAAACGGCGTCAGCGATGGCTATGAAATGAAGATTGCTGTCATTTTATATGTAAAATTATATGAGGAATGTCATCGATCGTCATTTTCAAGCCAATTGAACGCCATTTTTTCCGATCATACGGTATATTCCTTGCTATAGAATAAGAAACACCCTGTATATTGCTCTTGTTTTTCTGAATAGCAGCTGAATAGATAACAATTTTTAATGCTGTGCTTTCAAATATTTGTTATTATTATTACTGGCTATATAATCTAAATTGTTTTCACAAGACTATTTTCTTGATATCATAAGTAGTATAGGTATTTAACTAGCTGCTTAATTATAACTGATTACAATATAAAACCACATTGCACATGGTTGTTTTTAGAATCATTTCTCTAATCTAATTTCATTCATCATTTTAAATTAATCTTTTAAATAGAACGGGTTAGTGAGTTAGTGATTTATTATTTACTACCTATTCTGTGATAGTGTTAAGTCTTAAGTCGATATATTTTTAATAAAATATAAAATAGGTGTAATAGGTAGTAAATTAATTTTCAAACATGATGTAAATATTCCTTATAATTAATATTGTCAACAGAAACAGAAAATGTTTCATCATAGAGTTTTAGACTGGTTTTTATAGAATACATAAAAGGGCCTTACGCAATAAAACCAGTTAAAAAGAGGGAGCTTAGCTTTTGAATAATACGTCTCGTCAAACTAAGGTATGTAGTTTTTTTTTCACGTGTGATAGTAAACCGAACTTCTTAAGGAAAGATAATTACATTTTTTATTCTAAAAAATAATTCAAGGACAGGATGGACATGTGCTCTTGATTGGAAATTTCCAAAGAAATTTCAAAAGTGACAAATGACATAACCTAACTTTTGAAGTAATAGTTTATAGTTTTTAATTTTAATTATTTTTCATATTTTCTGTATGCTCTGGAAATAATAACATATTAATTTATATAGTAATGCAGATCTATGTTTATTCTACAATATTTAGGAATCTACTAAAGGGCTACTAAAGATACCTACAAATATTGGCTTGAAAGTGTTGTTACTTGATAAGTTAATTTAAAAATAATTTTATATTAACTAGCACATGATTATGCTTCCGAAGGATTACTTTATTATTCGTCTAACCGAGCGACCGTTCAGAAAATGTATTAAAGCTATTTCTGATAGATGGATAGGCTATCAAGAAGATCGCCAACTTCTACAAATATATGCTCAAGAATATGCCACTACTTAAGTTATGTAACAGTAGAGCCATCATTAACACTGTATATGATGGCTTTTATGATCACCTCAGTTATAGAACAGTCACTTTTTGTATACAAAGCTTGCAGAGTAGACCACGGTTACAATGAAACCGTATGCAGAAATATTAGCCAACCAGAGTATTCAGATATAAATAAGAAAGTTCAAGTAAGAAATAAAACTATAGTAGGGTGATTATCCCAGTTTTATTTTATATAACTTTTGTATTTTTTTTAGATCACTGTATCTAATTTTATATTGTGGAATAATGTAGCCGGTCACGCAGGCCAAATTATTTTAGCTTTCTTTATGGGAGCATGGTCTGATAAACGTGGTAGAAAACTCCCTCTTATAATAGGACTAATTGGAAAACTTTATTATTCTGTGATGATTGTAGTAAATTCCTTAAAACCTGACTGGCCTGTCATGTATATCGTTTATACAGCAACTTTACCAATGACAATTACAGGTAAAGCCCAGTTATATTTAGTATAATCGTGATACCGTATTAAAATCTAATCCATTCATAGGTAAATGATTTTAAATTTATTCTAGGAGCTGATGTGGCTATTTTTGCTGCAGCCTTTACTTATCTAGTAGATGTCAGTAGTAAAGAGAATCGTACTATTAGGGTCACATTACTAGAAGTATGCTATTTAGCTACAATGCCAACAGGAATTGCGTTAGGTTCATTTATATACAGTAAAGTGAATCAATCCTATACAATAATGTTTATAATCAATGCAAGTTTACTTGGTGCTGCCATTCTGTACTCTTTTGTGAGGCTTGAGTGGCAAACTGCAGCTAACCAAAAGCCCCTTATGGAAGTTAAAAACATTCTAACAGATTTTTTCGATTATAATCATGTCGTAGACACAGTAAAGACACTGTCTAAAAGAAGAGAAAATAAGAAAAGAAGAATATTGCTGATGCTGATTTTGATGATGGCTTTATATACATTTCAAAGAGATGAAAGAACCGTTACTTTTTTGTACTGTCAGAGAGCTTTTAATTGGGATGTCAGTCAATACAGCACCTTCAGAACATTTCAAAGTGCCCTGCAAGATTTAGGCTTGCTTTTTGGAGTTCCGATTTTGAGCAAATGTTTGGGCTTTAGAGACAGCATAATTGTCATGGTTGGAGCTTTTGCTCATTCTTGTGCAAGGGTGTTTTATGCTGCGGCTATTGACACATGGATATTTTATATTGGTAAATAAATTTTAGATAGTAGGCATCTTTGTAAGTTTTTATGTATTTGTTTTATAGGTGGTGTCTTTGCTGCTTTTGGTCCTATAGTAGCACCAGTAATAAGGTCAATGGTTTCTAAAATTATACACATATCAGAAAAAGGTATGCTGTATTAATTGTTATTAAATTGATATATTTTTTTATTGATATATCTACTGTAAAGATTGAGCCTTTATGATTTATTCATTTAAGTATTAGACATTTAAAGTATTGATACATTATAATTTTTAGGCAAAGCCTTTTCTGTACTGGGTGTGGCGGATAATGCTATTCCTATAATATCTGGTGTTCTTTACAGTAAGTTGTACAGTCTTACTATAACATCGCATCCGGCGGCTATATTTTATTTGACCATTGGTTCTCAAATTGGTGTATTTCTTTTAGTGTTGTAAGTATTCTTTAAAATAATACCTATAATATAGTATTAAGCTTTTGATTTTCATGCATTTGTTATCCGTTGATACGATGGTCCGACGGCTCTTTGATTAATCATAGTGTTTTCGCCGTCACTTTTCAGCCGTATTTTTTTTACTCCAGCTCTTCAATGGAGGAAGCTAAAATAAATTAACTATTCGTACGATAACGCATAGATAAATGAAACAAGTTTAGATTGGAAAGTGCCCATAAGGACAATGTAAACACTATTTGGCGCTATTCTTGCAACGGTCGCGACCCAAAACTTTTGAAAATTTCGGAGCGGTTCGGCTTTTTCCGGAATTATATCGCCAAATATTGTTTATTCAAATTTATTATTATTTTCGTTTACTTTTATAAATAAAATACAGTGTGTTGCATACAAGAAACTTTATTTTATATAAGGACGCATGTATGAAATACCTATGAAATATTGGAAACCGACGTTATGCCACGATCCACGATGGTTTTTGCAGTTCACAGTTCACAGCACAGCTTTTTAAGTTTTTAATGCCACTTTTTCACAATTATCACCGGTTGGAGTAAATAAAACTTGAATTGAACTCACAAGATAGCAATAATTACTTTGAAAATGGACGCTATAAACACTTTTCGGAATTAATTTAATGAGAGCGACTTTGAAGATTCTGACTTTGACAAGAGAAAATTATTTCTGTTTTTGTTTGCCGTTGTTCTATCGTTGTTCTTAGCGACCGCTATAGTAGCGCCAGATCGCGTATAACGGTCGCGACCCAATATAATTTCGCGAGTAATTTCGCGACCCAAAATTTTTACGGGCTTTCCAATCTAAACTTGTTGCTAACTTGTTAAAAAAAAATTATCTATGCGATAACGGACGTTTTGACACTTTTTTGACAAATTTAATCTAACCTTAATAAAAATACCGTATGATCGAAAAAAACAGCGTCCAGTTGGCTTGGAAATGACAATCGATGATATTTCCCATATACTTTTCCATGTAAAATGACAGCGATCTTCATTTCATAGCCATCGCCGACGCCGACGCTGTTTTTTTTTCGATCGTATTGTTTAAGTAAAACAGCGAAATCGTTATGGAAATGAAAATATAAATTGACACCAACGCATATCTGATAAATGGAGGCTTGAAAATGCAATAAATTCAAAGTCTTTAAATTCCAAAGTTTTTAAATTCAACCAATAAAATTAATATCGTATCATCGTATCGTCGGATAAGGGATGCATGATAATCAACGTTCTCAGTTCAATTAATTTTTCTTTAAATATAGTTTGAATACCATATATGAGGTTTAATTGCCATATTATTATACAATTTGACTGTCATAAACATAAAACTGATGTAGGTTGAAGGAGATTTAAGTGTTAAATAATTAGACAGTTTATACTATTCCTGAAGAATGTTTTTAGTATTTATTTTTATTTTGCAAAGGATTAATGCGAAATTATAAAGTTGTTTAACATGATAAGAAGTTTATAATAACTAAAAAACTAATGAGTATGAAAAAGCAAATATAAATATAAGTATATTAAATAGTGTGGATGTGCCATGATTTTATAAATCGACAATTAATGTCTATCTGACGTTTGTAATCATTTTCTTAAAATAAAACTATGTGCGCGTTCAGGGAACACAGTGGCTGATCGACCGCTGAGAATTTTTATTTTTTTAAATGTTTTTATAAGAACACGGTTGCCAACACTCGAAGTTAGATTACTACTACCCTTGATTATATAAACAAGGCTACTACTCTTACTAAGGTTACTTAGCTAGATTCGATTATTAAAAACCGCTAGAACCCACTAGGAGCGATATTGAAACTGAAATTTTGTCATATTGCCTATTTTTGAATCTTTTGGTGAGGCTCTCATCACGTGATGAGACAGATGTAACGAAACTTTAAGAATATATGATAATTACGTGACTATTGGTGCAAACTTTCAAAAAAATAGTTGCATGTTGCAATTTATGTAATAATTTTTGTGTCAATTTTACTTATTTCTTATTCAAAAATTTAAACTGCTAGCCACTATATGAATCTTTTTCTCGCTAAACCGAAAAAAAACCGCTAGATCTAGCGGGAAAACTGCCAAGTTGGCAACAGTGCATAAGAAATACAAATGAGTTGAGTTTATAATAATATACCGGGTGCCGAGTTTAAAATATAACAAAGGTGCTTCTAATTTTCAAATTTGGCGGCAACACCGTAATGCTGAAAATGTTATGGCGATGAAGCAGATGCATTTATGTAATTGATTGAAAAATTGATTCATTTTTGGAGAAAAATTGTAACAATTGTTCGTTACAAGTTATCAAGTGCCACGACTTTTTGATGAACCGCTGTGATGCACTGTCGGCATATAGAAATGACTATGTCCAAACTTGTGTTATTTATTTTTAGATATATTCATTTTGTTTATAAAGAAGATCAGGCTCCTAATGATCAAGAAGAATCCCAAGATAAATGCCTCAGTGAAGGACAACCTCAAGATTCTACAGAAGTTGACTGAATATGCCATAAATTCTATTTAGAATTATATATATTTTAGAGGTTTTATGATTAACTAGCGTGTGCTAGTATTTAGTGTATTTGTGTAAGTAAGTTCCTAAATGTTTTATTTGTAGGTATTTAATATGCATAATTGTGTAGAGTATATTTTTCTAAAGTAGAATAAAATTCATTTCTATGTATCTGTCAGTTTATTTAGCCATCAGAAAATGTATTACCTTGTTATAGGCTTGCATTAGAATTGTCTAGGAATTTTATACAATGAATGGAGAGGCGATTTCGACAGACAATGACAAAAAAATTGCCAAAAAATAGACGAACTAAAATGACAGATCAAACATAACAATGCCACTCTCAATATTCATTCATTTGTAGATTTTAGTCAACTTATATTAAAATTCTAAAGTTGATGTCAGCAGAGGGATTTTAATAAAAAGTTTTGGTATATCCAGTGTGTGATCAGAGTGCATTTGAATATAATATAGTTTACTTTTAATTAACTCCGTGGTTTTACATAAACCTACATAACATACGATAATGGACGTTTTGACACTTTTTTCACAAATTTAATCTAACCTTAATAAAAATACCGTATGATCGAAAAATAAACAGCGTCCAGTTGGCTTTTTATATGTAAATTTATATGCTAAATGTCATCGATCGTCATTTGCCAGCCAACTGGACACCGTTTTTTTTTCGATCATACGGTACTAGCCCTGGTAACTTTATTTCCGTGGTCTGTACAACAGGTCTGTACTTTAATGCATACGACAGAGATAAATATATAAGACCAGTTGACAGACATATAGACAAAATAAAAAGCGGCATACAGCGTTGCCGATTCGCACGAGACGTAAAATAATAAACGAAGATAATGTATCTAAGCTATTCAGTATGCTCATTTCTGTTAGACAGTGCTGATGCTGATTTTGATGATGGCTTTATATACATATGTTACGGCTAAAATGGAAACTTGTATAGTTTTTAAACTATCCAGCTATTTTACAAACAAACAACACAACAAACACCGCAAACTAACACCTAACCCACAAAACGAGCGCTTTTTGCAAAATAGCTGGCTAGTTTGACAACTAGCTAAGTATCCATTTTAGCCATAGCATATACATTTCAAAGAGATGAAAGAACCGTTACTTTTTTGTACTGTCAGAGCGCTTTTAATTGGGAATGTCAGACAGTACCTTCAGAACATTTCAAAGCGCGCTGCAAGATTTAGGCTTGCTCTTTGGAGTTCGTTTGGAGGATTTTGAGAAAATTTTTGGGCTTTAGAGACAGCATAATTGTAATGGTTGGGGCCAAAATCCGGCAATACCGTATAGAAGAAATGTATCACCCTAACTTTTATCTCTTTTTAATACATTTGATTTTTAATTTAAGCTGTCTACATGACTCTCTTATTTGTTAAAACTCAGACTACGCAGTTTCGATGACCAGATCGGTATAAGAGAAGAATCATTAGGATTTATATTTATCCACGATCTATCGAATTTGTTTAATTTATATTATTGTTTTTATGTTTTTACAATGAATATTGATATGTACTTTATGTACAGTTATATCTGTTATTGATAGACGATATCCAAAAAATGAGAGAAAATACGATATACATCTGAATGAAAATGACAGGTGAGTATTTGCTGTTACTGTCATTACCTACAGTGTCAATATTCTTTCACTGGGCAGATTAAAACAGTGACCTTGATTTTTCAACTCTGTTAAAGATATTCTTTAATTGATTGGTTCCTCTTTGCCATTCAATTAAATTATTATCTAGGTACAGAGAATAACAGCTTAGTAATCAATTTTTTTGGCATAATTAATTTTATTTTTGTTATTAACAAATTTCTGTATAATATCTATAACAATTAAGCATCGGAATTTAAAATTATTTTTTAATTTTAAATTATGAAGGCTAATTTAGTTTGTTTTTTATTTTACAACAATTAAAAATATCTTAATGATATTTTTTGAAAAAGGGTAAGTGAAATAAAGTATGCTCGATTAACTGATATAAGTATTTCGCCTCTCAATTTTTGAAATATAACATACGTTGTGTCCATAAAAAATCATGTTATTCCGGGACTTCAGTGGTGGAGGTCTTGAATTGTTACTTATTCTTGCCCGTAGCTACGTGTTTGTAAAGGAATAGTTATTTTATTGATGTTTTCAAGTAACGCATGGCATTTGTTCATACGTTAAACACATGCCCAAATTTTCTTCAGGTGATGTTTCTTTAACGCTATGTCCAAAATGTACTCCTATAGTAAAAGGGGTGATGCTGCTTTCGATCCTACAGGGCGAATTGCCGGAAGGGCATAAGGTTGAACCACAATGTGTTAAACTACACGTAGACGGCGTCATGCCTAACATTTCGGGCTGAAAGAAAAACAAGAAATCATTAGTACAAAGAACTATAAATAGTAGTCGTGATTAGAGATAGAAAATAGGTTTATAGATTGTTAAGTTGATAATATTGGTGTTAATTTTGGTTTAGTAAAATTATGCATTTTGTGATTTAAAAACACTCGTCCAAAAAGTTTTTTAAAATATTAAGAAGATAATATTCTTGGAAGTAACTTAAAGTATTTTTATATGATTTTTGATGTGAATTAAAGGGCTCGAACTCACTGACGACCAGGTCGTCGGCTGGCCGGATGCATTGCGTTTACAGCTGCGGCCAGATGAACTACTAGTTTCAACAGAGTTGTCTGATCTAACGATTTTTTACGTTTTACCAATTAGAAAATATTTTTTCAGAAAGAATTAAGTTTCAGAAATGTTAAAATATCCGAGTTAACTAAAAAGCAAAGTTGCTATTCATGAGCTTATTAAATAATGTTCTAATATTAAATAATGCATTCAAAATATTCGTGGATTTTTCGTTAATAAATACTTAACTGGTGTGGTATGGAGTAAGTAAAATCTCCAACCCCGACTACACGATAACGTCGTTATTTCCATGTTTTTCAAATCCGCGATGCCTGCTATTCCATCAGTCGTTTCATAACAGAATATTCTACATCCTACGTCTATGTAATTTAATATGTGTAGAGTAAGACATGTAACTCATGAGATCTTCAGCATTATATCAATAAAAGACAAAAACAGTATTGTTCCTAAAGGTGCGTCCAGACTTGAGCATTTTAGCCCGAACGAACCGAGCGCGCACTAACAAGCAGAACAAATAGGCCGAACAAAAAGCATTGTGTACGCACGACCGACAAAAAGGGAGATATTCTGTTTCTTTTTTCTACTGATATGGACTTCTACTGATGGCTCTTATAGACTTTAGAAGTAAACATATTATGGCCACAGTTAGGGCCATCGTAAAAAAAAGGTCGTCAGACACTGGCTCTAAATATAAGCAGGTAGAAAGTTTAGCTTCCAGTTATTTCCATGTTTACAATATAAATTCCTCTTTTTTATTGTTACTGAGAATCTACAACAGTAAATACTTCTATTTTTATGAATGTTTAAGTTACTTTTACTCTTAATTTTTTTTTAAATAATGTACCTAGTCGAAATATAGTCTAACTTTTCAAACAGGGTCCAGTTTGAAAAACGTTAAATTAAATATAATATTTAAAATACAGTTCTCCTCCTTGTACATGACTACAGTACAACTAAAAAAAAACAATTTAATTAAAAAAACAAGTGGTTGTAGAAAAACTTTAAATAATATGATTTTTTTATTTTTTAACATCGAAACTCGAAGGTATAATAACAGGTATCATACCAACCATAAATAGAGTATGTCATATAAAAATGTTTTGAATTTTTAATAGAATCGACCCTTGATAAAAAATGGACTAGATTTAAGTTTCCCTTTGATCCAGTCTGTATACTATTTCTTTGGATTTTCTGCACATGTGCAAAAACTACACTAAAACAATATATCTTATAGAAAATAAAATATTGTGCGTTGAATTTGAGGGATTTCATCTGAAAAATTATTAATTTGGAAGAAAACCGGTAACAAGCAGCAGAAAATAATAATATTTTAGTGCAGTCTACCGGTCGCAACGACCAACGGACGGCCAGGACGTTAGTGTGCGCTGTATCATTTGATTTAATGGTTTAGCAGCGTCCTGGCCGGTGCGACCTGGTCGTCAGTGTGTTCGAGCCCTAAGTATAGTTTAAGTAAGTTAGAAGAATATAATTGCCGACTGGTATAACGTTATATTACGAGATCATCCTAAAGTATTTTACGATTGTCAAATAATCAAAATACGTGATTCTAATATTGCTTTTATTACGATCGGAAGATTTTAAAGTAATACCAAATATTTACTTACTTAATATGATTAATTATCCTAGATTAGGATTGTGGGTTTTTGATATGCTCAATTAGATGATATTAAGAATAATGTACATAATAAACAAATAATTAGATTAAGGCAAAATTTGTTGTCTGTTTGATGTTTGATTAGTGCAAAGATGGAGCATGTAGATATACGACTTAAAACTTTACGTCAATATGTTATAACAGCTGAAAAAGCGAAGTCGAAGTTATAAAAAGTACTACATTTTGCAGGAAATATCAATATAAAGTATGCATATATATACAGGTTGTTAATTTGTTTATTACTCGCGGCAAGAGCTTTATGGTTGAAATATGGCAACCTCGTCCCGCTCGTCGATAGACGACGCGACGGGACGAGTCGGCAGAAAACCTTATAAGTGCTATAACTTTTTTATTTTTTCAGATAAAAAACGAGATTTGGTACGTTAGTATGTAACATAAATTAGGATTGATTGACGTATACAATTATTTTTAGTCACATTTAATTATTTTTAGTCGTCATTTTCCTGTTTTACCGGAAATTACTATAACTTTTCATTTCTAAATGACAGCCTCGGTATATTTCTACTTTATTCACTAGAAAATGACATTCTGAATAGAATGACATACCACATGTCATCTTTTGACATTTTCGCTTAAAGAAAAATCGTATTTTAAATTTCAATCTAGAGTGCCATGGCTGTGTTAAAAATATTAATTTTTAATGAAGGAGCTTTGGAAAAATAGATTTTAACCGTCTAGTGTTTTTCGTGTCTTGTTCTGGCCGGTTAAAAGACGCTCAAATCATATTTTTAATCATATCTCAATTTTTTCAAATGGAACAAGATTGGCTTATTAGTATATTTAGTAAAAGCATATTTTTACGAATAATTTGGTACCACATACTTGGTATTTCGTGTCAAATTTTCGTTATGAACCGCATGTTACAATTTCAATTAAACCATATGGGAAAACTTCAAAAGTTGACATATGATATGTCATTCTATTCAGAGTATCATAAATGAAGTAAAAAAATACCGATGATAAATGCGATATAACATTCGAAAGTTGTAGTCATTTCGGATGAAACAGGAAGTGACCAAAAACAGTTGAATACCGTCAATCAATCCTGATTTATGTCACATACTACCATACCAAATCTCGTTTTTTAATCTGAAAAATAAAAAAGTTATAGGGGTGAGCCACTTATGAGATGCACCCGGTATAGGGACATTATCTTACATTGTTTATATTATACTAAAGTGACATTGAAAATGAAACACCCAGAATAACTTATCTGAGCGAGTCTTAAATAAGTGCAAATATTTTAGGGGTAGTATATTTCGACCCTACAAAAACGTCTATGAGGATTTTTTCGTGAAAAAATGTTGAATATTTTGAAAAAAATTGGATTTTTTGAGTTTTTATTTAAAAAACATAATTTCTTGATAATATGGCAACATTAAGTAGTAGATTACTAAATTTACAAGAAAGAAAACCCAGAAAAGATCCAGTGGTTGTCAGAATTTAAGCAAAAAATCATTTTTTAAAATTTTTAAACTAAATTAACTCGGTCATATTGGACTTATTTGAAAAACGGTAAAGAGAAAATATGTTTCTTTTATTGAGATCTACCAGCTCTGAAAATATTTGCACTTATTTCAGACTCACATTGTATAATAGAACATCAACACCTTATTAGCATTAAGGTAGACTAACTGAGAATTTTGGTAGTTTAATGTTATCAAACTGTAGTAAAAACTAAAGCATCCTCCACAGGTGTTGCATTTTCAATATATTTATCGAAAATATTTAGCCTGACACGGTTGAAATTTTTCTAGTTGTATAATTATTTTTGTTACTAAGTATTCTTATGGTATATATATTACCATTACGAGGTCTTCGGAATCACATGGCAAAACAATTTTGTCATTACACAAATCCAAGGCTCGCATTGTTTCTTCTGTGTCGTCCGTACCTGAACCTTCTTCTACATTAGTATCCGCTTCGGAATCTAAAAATTGCAACAGCATTTATCAATTGTTCAAAAAAAGTCAGGTGAGAATTATATACTTCAAGTAATGTTTGGTAAATAGATACTAAATTATTTTTGAACTTGAAGATGTTAATTACATTTGAAGACAATACAATAGAAAATTACACAAATCAATCAGAATGCATCAACACTTTTTTTCTACTATAGATGTACCTACATCTAACTTGTTATGTGGTTATGTATGCTTTCTAACAGGTTTTCGGCATTTTTCCCCGAATTCATATTTTAGAGTGAAGGTTTGTATTTACCTTAAATCGGTTCTATTTAGCAAAGACATTTTGAAAAATCCTACCGACTGCGCCCGCCAAATAATACGCCCGAGAAGGAGTTATATTAGAAGTAGTTTTTATAATTTATCTAGCAAATGCCAATGAAGTTTTGGTGTAATCCTCACTTGTTCTTAATTATACGTATACCGTGCGTCTCAAAAGTGGCTCACCCCTATAATTTTTTTTATTTTTTCAGTTAAAAAAACGAGATTTGGTATGTTAGTATATGACATAAATTAGGATTGATTGACGTATTCAGTTGTTTTCGGTCACTTCCTGTTTCACCGGAAATGACTACAACCGTTGCTACAACTTTTGATTTTTAAATGACACTCTCGGTATTTTTTTTACTGTATTCCATAGTAACACTCCCAATAGAATTTATTTGAAATTATAACTTGCGGTTCGTAACGAAAATTTGGCTCGAAATACCAAGTGTGTGGTATCAAATTATTCGTAAAAAAATACTTTTTTCAAATATGCTAATGAACCACCCTCGTTCAATATGAAAAATTGAGATATGACTAAAAATACGATGTGAGTATTTTCCAACTGGCCAGGACAAGACACTAAAAACACTAGACGATCAAATATATTTTTCCCTTAAGGCTCCCTGATTAAGAATTAGTGATTTTAACATACGTCACGGCACTCTAGATTGAATTTTAAAATACGATTTTTTATTAAGCGATAATGTCAAAAGTTGACATATGATATGTCATTCTATTCAAAATGTAATTTTCTATGGAATAAAGTAAAAAAATACCGAAGATGCCATTTAAAAATCAAAAGTTGTAGTCATTTCCGGTGAAACAGGAAGTGACCAAAAACAATTGAATACGTCAATCTACGCTAATTTATGTCATATACTAACATACCAAATCTCGTTTTTTTATCTGAAAAAATAAAAAAGTTATAGGGGTGAGCCACTTTTCAGGCACACCCGTATAGTATAAAAAAATTAATTGACCAAAAACAATTGAATACGTCAATCAATGCTAATTTATGTCATATACTAACATACCAAATCTCGTTTTTTTATCTGAAAAAATAAAAAAGTTATAGGGGTGAGCCACTTTTCAGGCACACCCGTATAGTATAAAAAAAATAGCGGATTAAAAACTTCTACGCTAACAAAAAATATATGCCTAACCTAACCTAACCTAACTCCTCTTTGACGCTAGTTGAAACTTTAATATTAGCTTGATTATCTATTGTCCTCAGTTATAAAAGATAGAAAAATACAGGGTATTTCAAAAAACGTGCCATTTTTCGTGGGGAGATTCCTCTCATATAAGATTTATTTTTCAAATTAACATAAGTCTGATTCCGTTTTGATTCGTAGCTACAGGGGGTTAAAATCTTCATTATTTTTCATTATAATTTTCTTCCAAATGCGATTCGAATGAAAGTTTGAAAGTAAAAGTTTCTATAAGTGCGACATATTTTAATGCTAAAAAAGTGTCGACATATTCACCAGGGACGTGCATATGGGTTGTCACTGGAATATTTTTCTAAAAAAAATATGTCCGCCACTGACTGTTTTTCCTCTTATTGGCAATTATAATATAATTATAATTATAAAATATTCTAAATCGAAAAAAAAATGAAGATTTAATTAAACAAAGCAGAATCGGACCCATATTGGTATAAAAAATAAATCTTTCGGCAATTCTTGTTTTTACGCGAAGATTCACGCGAAGATTCTCCCCATGAGAGATGGCACATGTTTTTTGAAACACTTTGTATATAATTGGTTGTGGGTTCTAAAATTATGCGTAATAAAAATGACTTAGTATTATAAATAGTATACCTTCTTCATCATTTTCATCTTCATCTTCTGTGTTGGGTGCTATTCTAAAAGCATTTTCGTGACATGGCTCGTATATTATACTGCACATATCCAGTTCTTGTCGTATACAAATGTTATAATCTTGGTCGGCTAAGTGTCTACCGTTATCGGCAAAATTCATCGTTTGCACGATTCCTGTAGAGCCTAATAATTATGCATTCAATTTAGATTTCCTTAATTTTTCAATAAAATAATTACAATTACTAACCTTGATGATATTGTAAACATCCTACAGGGGCTCGTTCGGTGAAGGGTATTTGAGTAACTAAAACTTCCCAAAATCTGGTCACAGCTTTTCTGCCAAGGGTCATGTTTATCTCGATATCGTACTCGAGATTTTCTACATCGAAATAAACTGTAAATTGAATACTTTAGTTATATTTATAACTAAATGTTGAACAGATCTAAGACTTATTCTTATAGTATATTTTACTGTTTTAATAATTTGCAAATATTGTAATCGCAAAACATTTTCCGATGCACGTCATCAATCATATCGACATTGACACTAAAGTCTATAAACCTGACTAAATGAAATTTTGGCAAAAATGTTTAAATTTGTTGTATAAGTTAAGATACCGAGCAGCTCTTCATTTGACTTTATAGAGCAAATGATTGTAACAGATATTTTATTTAGATTAAAGCTGCAAAAATTAGTTTAAACCGAATTTTATTATCGCAATGTTGGTCACATAGCGCCGTTTTCAGCAAGGTTGTCGTTTATTTTTTGACAATTATCCTAGTAGTAATTCTCATTTTTTCCCTATTTATATACCTATGTTTATCCCAATAATCCTAGAGTAATTCTCATTTTTTCCTTATTTTCATAGTCTTTTTTTAAAAATTGCACTTTTAAGCACAAACAGTTGTTTCAAGAACCAAATCTTCGAGTTTTTTTTTTGTATTGCATTTCTTGAAATTATGTGTTGAAAATATGCTGAAGCATTTAAACAGTCGAAGCAAAGAGCTTGTAGCTTCCCTGATAAACCATTTTGAACAAGAGAGGGTGACAATAAAGGTCCTTTATTACACTTGGCTGCAGTCAGAGAAGTAAGTTTGGTTGATAAGCACATTACACCACTTTCAAAGTTATTTTTACGTTAGTTTTAATTAAATTCTGTGATTATTAGTTTATGCATTAATAGCACCCTTTTACTTGTTATTACCACTTATGGCGTTGTAAGATTGTACCATTGCGATAAAAAAAAGTAGTACAAGAATTAGTACAGTAGTCCCAGATAGAACTCCTGGTCTATAAGGATATCGAGAAGTGGATATCGTCGTCACTATGAAAACAATACAATTATACCACCTAACTTTTTAGGCGTTACCATGAATTTGGTAATAATTGGTAGGTATACGTGGCGAAATAAAAGTATAAAAAATTTACCTACCTTTGAAAAATGTGCAATTATAATATTTTATTATAGACCAGCAGATTAAATAATATTTTGTTGTACTACTTTTTTTGATCGCAATGGTACATCAATAAATAAATAAATAACCCATAATAACGCTTAGAATAATCTTAATAATAAATAATGGACTAGTTTTTGCCAATATGTAATAAGGAAAATAAGCTATAAAACAAATAAATCAATTAATTACTAAAATATTAGTTATTAAATTAAAAATAAAACGTAAACATCTTTAAAAAATTATATAATAAATATATTGTTCGTCACTTTTAAATTAAGTTTTTTTTTTCGTCACTTTTAAGTTAAGTTTTTGAGATTTATCTCATAAATCCATCACAATCTGGCAGCGCTGTCGCTGTCGATTGTCACTCAAAGTTGATCACGTGCATCGGAAATTGTTTTGCGATTACCATATGTGTGAATTTTCCAAAATAATTAGACAATATTTCAATTATAAAAACAAATTAAACTATTTCTATAGAAGTCTAACGGGTGATGCTATGAGCCCAAAGGTATCATCGAGACTCGTCGTGAGAGCTCTGGCATGAAGGAACAGAATTAAATTATACTGGGTGCCGGACCGCAGCGGCATTTAAAGCAAAAGGCAACGAAAAAGCCGATGAACTAGCTAGGCAAGAATCATCGGTCTCCTATCTTGGTCCAGAGCCAGTAATGTACTAAATCTCTGGATCAGGGAAAAGTAGAATGCCCACTGGAGAAACAGACAGGAGATGTCGAGGATCTTCAAAGCAAGTAGGGATGATTTAACATATTACTATAAATGCAGGTGTTCGGTGGCGTAGAGGTACAGCTCTCGTCTACCTATCTCAAGGTTGTGGGTTCGAATCCTACAGCAGGTATTTCATTAGCCGACTATTTTTTAATAAAACAAAAATAGTTTGGGTACCTAGGTCGACTCAGCCTTAAATGAGTACTTCGGATCCACAATCCAGAGGATCCACAATAAGCGGTTGAAGCGTAAGGCTAGCCACATTACTTGTATACCGAACGGCTCTAGCATGGCAAGCTGTATAAGCTTGATACTCCCAAGGCGTTAAACGTTACGGGATGTACGATATACGGGAGCTATTATTATTATTATAAATGCATAAAACATCTTTTGTTGTAGAATTCATTGTATCTTAGACTGAACGCACACAGAAAGAGCAAATCAGTTTTAGTTAAAAACGTTTTTGATAAAATGCGTTTTCATGTGATGCTTCCATGCAAATTAAATAGGTTAACACTGATCAATCGCGAGCGTTGAGACAGGTTTAGGCTCGTTTAGTCACAGTTAGGCTGACCAAAGTCGCGCGCTGGATCGTCGTTTTATCGTTGATTGAAGAAATGAGAAGGTGCACAACCTTACGGGCGATTTCGGGACACAAAACCTGTGCGAGATGTAGCTGGCGGTACCGTCGCGTCGCCGCTAGTCAACCTGTCCGAGATTTAGTTTAGCTCTGTGCCGCTGAGAGTCGTTACAGCGCAGCGGATAAAGAATACTGTACCGCAGTTCTGCTTTCAGTCAACAGAGTGGGTGGTTGCCGGAGACAGTGTTGCCAGAACTCCGGATTAATTCGTAGATTTACGGATTTTGGATACAGTACGTTAATGGGTAGTCAGTACATACGGATTTTCTATCATAAAACAATTTAGTATAATATTATATGATTAAATAAAGAACGGCATCGGAGTTGGCTAGGAAATGAAGATCGCTGTTATTTAATAAAATATTATGGCAAATGTCAATAGTCGGCATTTCAAAACCAAGTAAACGACTTTATACGAACATACGAAATATTCAGTACCTATAAAAGAATTTTTATTTTTGTTGTTTATTCATGTTTAACACGAATAAATTTTCAATACATAAACGTGAATTTTCTAGCCAAATATATTTTTGTAAAACGTAATTCCAGATATTACATATTTTAATATTGCAACAGTGTTGCTTTCAGTTCCACAACGTCTTCGATATGCCTTCGCTAGCCGAATTAGAGAAAATGAGTGTTTTATGCGTTGGCTACAGAACGAGTAGAGGCTCCACCGTACAGCACTTGAGTTGAGACGTAAAGGCAAATCAAATAGCAACATCAGCCTTGTCAGGAATTTGCCCATTAGGTTGCATATCTTCCCAATTCTTTCAATCAACATTTTTATGATAAAACCACTTTAGTCTCGAACCGTTCTCTATCTGCTGCCGTACATATTTGATTGTAAATAAAACATTTTGCTTCTCTTTGAAACATATAATGTTTTTTATGAAAAATAATGTCTTTCTGTGTGCGCTCAGTCTTAGCCTACTCATAGTTACCGTGTTGTCCACTATTCATTCCACATATTTTTAGTTCTCTCGTCGAGGTAGGTGCTGTCATATAAAAAATATCTTGTTCGCATTCTCCAGTATTTCTGTTTGGCTGACCCTAACAACAATAGAAATTATATTGAAGAGAAATAAATTTACAGTAAATATAAAATTATAGACTAGCCGCATCTAACGAGAACCCCAGGCGTGTCATCAATCTTTTGTCGGTGAGATAGTGATGCGTGAAACAGTTCGAAATATTATAAAAATGTGTTGTTAAAGTTTAGGCTTATGAATCAGAAAAGTATCAATTAGTGATGTGTTGGTATTTGAGTAACGCGATTTTGGAGCGGTATTTTTTTGTAACGCCGTGTCGCGCTCAACAACAAATGGGGAACCTGTTACTGAAGAACGACGATCATAATGACGACAAAATTATAAATTATTTATAATTTGCAAATAAATAATTTATAATCGCTCTTGAAGTTAGCTTGAACCGTAGGCATTTTTACGTTTCCTAGACCGTGAACGCTACTGGTTGCGCTGACGAGCTAGGGAATGTACTGCAGGGCCCCACTCCGTTTCCTAGACAGTGCAGAGAGTACGGCGGAAAGTAACGCCTAGCTATAGGCAGTTCTGCAAGAGCACCTGTGGCTCCGTGACTGAGGCCATCGCTTCGTGAGCGAATGGTCCGTGGTTCAAATCTCACGCCGGACCAAAACTTTTTTTGTATATTTTTGCTTATAGCGTGATTTGATTGCATTGGTTTCACTCTTTTTGGTTAGATTGGTTTAGTTATTTGGCGGGTTGGTTAGCGTGGTTATTTGGAGGGTGTTAATTCATTGGTTATATTTGGTGGGATTGGCTGGTTGTTACTAATTTATATTTGTTTTTTAGATATTCATTGATTTTAAGATAAAAGCCCTTTTAGTCCATTTAAATCATAATACTATCGGTCATGGAAGTAAACATTAAAACGTGCTACATGTATACATATTTCTGTATTTATTCATATTTATTAAATAATAGGTGTTTGTTAGGTACTTGTATGTACACATTAAATTAATAATAAGCATTACAACAAATTATTACCTAGATTTTTTTATTACTGTTACTTATGACCTATTGTCAGGAATTTGGAGTATCGCAAGCCATCACGCATTGTTGCGCCCGCTGTCTAGGGAACGGAGTCTTTAGCACTGCGGTCCATTTCCTAGCTCGTCAGCGCAACCAGTAGCGCTCACGGTCTAGGAAACGTAAAAATGCGAACCGTAGTAACCGCATATCGACGTGTTTAGCTCCAGCCGTCGCGATTTCGTCGGTCGCCTACAGTCGCCTACAATAGTTACTGGAACTGTACGTAGCGTCGGGCGATCTCGATGGCGACGGCGACGTGTTCGCTCCTATGGTTCGCTCCAACCGTCGCGCTCCTAGAGTTGTAGTTCCCTGTCGAGTAACTGCTGTAACTGGGCATCGACGCTCGACCTCGGCGGCGCGGCGTTCTACTTCGCTCCAGCGACACTTAGGAAGTTGGAACCTCGATTACAAAATCGCGGTATTTTGGCGCGGTATTTTTCTGGAACGGTCGCTATTGTAACGCGACTCATGTGGAACCGGTATTCCCATCGCTAGAAGGCTAGTATCAATGCACCAATCACAAGCAAGGGGCATTCACAATGCAGTCGTGCCATTGATTACGCGGTTGGTTCTGCTTTAGATGTGTGTGTGTGTGTGCAGGAACTATACTTACCAAATTGAAGTGAATGAAATCCAGTCTAATTTGAGACACATCCTGACTAACTTTTCTAATAGATAATTGGCAAGTGGACATACCGGTGGTAAAGTCTGGATAGTCTGGATTAGCGAAGTACGTGAGATTATTGATGACCTGTTGATTACAAGTTGCTGTGACTAAGAAAGAGAATCAGAATTATGCGTGGAATTAAGTAAATAAATATTAACTTACAAATGCAACACACGCCAAATCCTAAGGCACAAAAACCGTGTGAATTACCCCCTTGAATTCTACACTCGTACGTGTTCATACAGATTCCTGAAACAGTTTCTTCGTTCTTTTTAGTTAGTAAAAATATGTTAGACTAACCTCGTCTTCTACCGTCTCGGGCTCGGCATTCTTCCACAAAAGGTACAGGAAAGAAATTTAATACTAGATTAAAACAAAAAAAATTGGTAATAGAAATCATAAATTAATTGCAAAATAATATAAACTATCAATTTTCAGTTATTGTTTTTTTTTTCGGTGAAAACTTATCACAGGAGGAACTTGTGGATGGAGGAGTACACTTTCGGGGAACTTACGAGTAGAACGTAAAATACCTACTACAGGCTGGTAAAAAAAATCATTTTTTGTACTTTTTCCAAATTGACCTATTCCGTGCTAATCAACAATTAAAATTTGTTTGAGAGATTTTAAGCAACAAGGAGATATATTAAAAACTGTAAAGATAAAAAGATGAATGTTGATAGAGATTATCGAGAAATAGTATATGAAAATGAATTAAATATTCTGTTACAAATGGAAGAAGAAATTCTTGAAGAAATAGTTCAAATATATCGTACCGCAGCTTGGCGAACTTTGAAGAATAATTTGAATAATTTTAAGTCATTTAAATATTCTAAACACTAAGAATTATTTGACGGGGGTGAAACATGTAGGGCATTTTTTCCATTTCGAAATTTTCTTTCTATTGCGAATTGCCGATTTCTTTATTACTTATACCTATAGATACCTATCTGCAGAATATGCTGTAGAAGTTCCCCGAAATCAATTCGGACCACCCTGTATTATTAATTTATTGTATTTAGAAATATTACTAAAACGGACATAAAGTAAAACGGTCAATTTTCAGGATAACTACAAACAAAAAAATATTTTTTTTTATAAAATTTAACCGATTTTGTAGTACTTTATAAATGTATCCATTACAGTTTAGAGTTTAGATCGTTTGCCATCGAATACATATCCTTCAAAAAGCGTTGGTATATTTTGATGATATACCGGGTGCGTCTCAAAAGTGGCTCACCCATATAACTTTTTTATTCTTCCTGATAAAAAACGAGATTTGGTATGTTAGTATATGACATCAATTAGGATTGATTGACGTATTCGATTGTTTTCGGTCACTTCCTGTTTCACCGGAAATGACTATAACTTTTGATTTTTAAATTTATTTTATTTTATTTTATTTACTCATTACAAACACCTATTGAGGTAGCTACATGCAAAGGCCTAAAGAAAACAAATACAATTACAATTACTTAAAACTAGACATGTACTACAAAAGTACATAAAAATAATATAAATAAAACATATATAATAATAAATAAAGTAAATAAGTAACAAAGTACATAACATTTAATTTATAAAATGTGCAATAAAAAAAACAATGAAACCTATCACACCAGATTTGTCTCCTGATGCACCAACAAGATGCGCCTAAGTTCGCCAAACTTAATGCTAAACATATCGGGAATTGTGTTCCCAGACAACATATCATTATAAATGGTAAAAGTAAAAAAATACCGAGGGTGTTATTTAAAAATCAAAAGTTGTAGTCATTTCCGGTGAAACCGGAAGTGACCAGAAACAATTGAATATGTCAATTAATCCTAATTTATGTCATATACTAACATACCAAATCTCGTTTTATCTGAAAAAATAAAAAAGTTATAGGGGTGAGCCACTTTTGAGACGCACCCGGTATATAATGGATGGAGTTGCACTATTTATAGAATAGTAAGCACTATCTATGGATTTTAAGGTACTCTTCAATATATTCGAGGTTAATTTTCTACGTTCGTCTTCTGAGCTATTATAACGGGGCGGGGATTCACTTGATTGTGTGAGTTGAGTGTTGTTTTAATTATAACCCTATAACTTTTTTATTTTTTCAGATAAAACAACGAGATTTGGTATGTTAGTATATGACGCATTAATTGGGATTGATTGACGTATTCAATTGTTTTCATTCACTTCCGGTTACACCGGAAATGACTACAACTTTTGATTTTTAAATGGCATCTTCGGTATTTTTTTACTTTATTCGATAGAAAATGACACTCTGAATCGAATGACATATTATATGTCAACTTTTGACATTTTAGCATATGGTTTATTTAAAATTGTAACATGCGGTTTAAAACGATAATTTGACTCAAAATACCAAGTGTGTGGTATCAAATTATTCGTAAAAAATGCTTTCCAAATATGCTAATGAGCCACCCTCGTTTCATTTGAAAAATTGAGATATGATTAAAAAATACGATTTGGGCATCTTTTAACCGGCCAGGATAAGGCACTAAAAACATTAGACGATCAAATCAATTTTTCTAAGGCTCCTTGATTAAAAATTAGTGTTTTTAACACAGCCATGGCACTCTAGATTGAAATTTAAAATAGAATTTGTTTTTGAGTGACTATGTCAAAAATTGACATATGATGTCATTCGATTCAGAATGTCATTTTCTATCGAATAAAGTAAAAAAATACCGAAGGTGCCATTTAAAAATCAAAAGTTGTAGTCATTTCCGGTGTAACCGGAAGTGAATGAAAACAATTGAATACGTCAATCAATCCCAATTAATGCGTCATATACTAACATACCAAATCTCGTTGTTTTATCTGAAAAAATAAAAAAGTTATAGGGGGTGAGCCACTTTTGAGACGCACCCGGTATATAATGGATGGAGTTGCACTATTTATAGAATAGTAAGCACTATCTATGGATTTTAAGGTACTCTTCAATATATTCGAGGTTAATTTTCTACGTTCGTCTTCTGAGCTATTATAACGGGGCGGGGATTCACTTGATTCACTTTTTATTTGCAAGTGGTTAGGTTGTGTGAGTTGAGTGTTGTTTTGATTTATCTGCTGCTTGGCTCCAGCCCAACAGTTTAAAAAGAAATGCTTCTTAAAATATAAAAGCCTTTTATCAAAAGACTTAAATCTTTAAGTTTATTGACTTAATTCTTTTAGGAAATCACAAATCACTTTCGCAGAACTGCAAGCTCGCAGAAAACTTAAGTCTTTTTTTGATTTAAATCATTTTAATGACTTAAGTCATTTGATTTTAAGTCATTTTTCGAAAGTTAACTTAAGATTTAAGTCTTTTTGAAAATGATTTGTGATTTAAATCTTTATTCCGAAATAGAAAAAAAATTAAGTCTTTTTAGATAAGACTTAAGTCATTAAAAATATATAAATCTTTTTATAAAAGACTTAAGTCATCAAAAAGATTTAAGTCTTAAAGTTTTATAAAAGGCTTACGTCAGATTTTTATACCGGGTGCGTCTCAAAAGTGGCTCACCCTTACAACTTTTTTATTTTTTCAGATAAAACAACGATATTTGGTATGTTAGTATATGACATAAATTGGGATTGATTGACGTATTCAATTGTTTTCGGTCACTTCCGGTTTCACTGGAAATGACTACAACTTTTGATTTTTAAATGGCACCCTCGATATTTTTTTACTTTATTCGATAGAAAATGACACTCTGAATCGAATGACATATTATATGTCAACTTTTGACATTTTAGCATATGGTTTATTTAAAATTGTAACATGCGGTTTAAAACGATAATTTGACTCAAAATACCAAGTGTGTGGTATCAAATTATTCGTAAAAAAATGCTTTTTCCAAATATGCTAATGAGCCACCCTCGTTTCATTTGAAAAATTGAGATATGATTAAAAATACGATTTGGGCATCTTTTAACCGGCCAGGATAAGGCACTAAAAAACATTAGACGATCAAATCAATTTTTCTAAGGCTCCTTGATTAAAAATTAGTGTTTTTAACACAGCCATGGCACTCTAGATTGAAATTTAAAATAGAATTTGTTTTTGAGTGACTATGTCAAAAATTGACATATGATGTCATTCGATTCAGAATGTCATTTTCTATCGAATAAAGTAAAAAAATACAGAAGGTGCCATTTAAAAATCAAAAGTTGTAGTCATTTCCGGTGTAACCGGAAGTGAATGAAAACAATTGAATACGTCAATCAATCCCAATTAATGCGTCATATACTAACATACCAAATCTCGTTGTTTTATCTGAAAAAATAAAAAAGTTATAGGGGTCAGGCACTTTTGAGATGCACCCGGTATATTTTTATGATAAATTTAAAACAGCAGCATTTCTTTTTCGTACACCTAGTATAGTACACACTAGAGGTGGGCAAAGATTGAACGAGTCGTTCATTCGAATGAGTATTACAAATGAATCGTGACATTCGTTCGATTCACTGCTTAGAATACGGTTCGTTCAATTGAATCGTAGCCAGTACGAATCCATAACATTTAAATGATGAGCCGTAAAAAAGAATCGTGAGAATTGAATCGGATCACAATGCGGTCGTTCGACCAAAGAGTCGTGAGAATTGCTTTAATGGGTACAATACGGTTCGTTCAATTGAATCGTGGCCAGCACGGATCCATAAGATTTGAAGGATGAGCCGTAAAAAGAATCGTGAGAATTGAATCGGATCACAATGCGGTCGTTCGACCAAAGAGTCGTTAAATTGCTTTAATGGGTACAATACGGTTCGTTCAATTGAATCGTGGCCAGCACGGATCCATAAGATTTGAAGGATGAGCCGTAAAAAAGAATCGTGAGAATTGAATCGGATCACAATGCGGTCGTTCGACCAAAGAGTCGTTAGAATTGCTTTAATGGGTACAATACGGTTCGTTCAATTGAATCGTGGCCAGCACGGATCCATAAGATTTGAAGGATGAGCCGTAAAAAGAATCGTGAGAATTGAATCGGATCACAATGCGGTCGTTCGACCAAAGAGTCGTTAGAATTGCTTTAATGGGTACAATACGGTTCGTTCAATTGAATCGTGGCCAGCACGGATCCATAAGATTTGAAGGATGAGCCGTAAAAGAATCGTGAGAATTGAATCGGATCTGCAATGCGGTCGTTCGACCAAAGAGTCGTTAAATTGCTTTAATGGGTACAATACGGTTCGTTCAATTGAATCGTGGCCAGCACGGATCCATAAGATTTGAAGGATGAGCCGTAAAAAGAATCGTGAGAATTGAATCGGATCACAATGCGGTCGTTCGACCAAAGAGTCGTTAGAATTGCTTTTAATGGGTACAATACGGTTCGTTCAATTGAATCGTGGCCAGCACGGATCCATAAGATTTGAAGGATGAGCCGTAAAAAGAATCGTGAGAATTGAATCGGATCACAATGCGGTCGTTCGACCAAAGAGTCGTTAGAATTGCTTTAATGGGTACAATACGGTTCGTTCAATTGAATCGTGGCCAGCACGGATCCATAAGATTTGAAGGATGAGCCGTAAAAAGAATCGTGAGAATTGAATCGGATCACAATGCGATCGTTCGTTTCTACGGCGCGGCGCGGCGGTAATATAGGCATACAGTTAGGCACCAAAATTTAGACTTGAACAAAAGCCCTAAACAAAGATCAGCAAAAAATATATTGTTATGATTATTAAAATATGGCTCTAAAAATATTAAATAGATATTAAGAAGTCTTTAATAATTAGTATATATGAATTGGATTGATAATTTAATATTATTGGTAAAATGTCCGGCCAAATCATCGCCGGTAGTGCCAGTTACGATTCTTGTTTTTATGAAACGTAAATTGTGTATGTGGTTCGTTTAAATGAACGAATCGTAGGCAGTGGCGGACTAAAGGGGGTGGGCGGAAGGGGCTGTCCGCCCTGGGCCCCGTCTTGTAAGGGGCCTCCAAATCTCAATAAGTAATTTTTTATTCAACTGGCAAAGAATGACAGTTCTGTCAAAGATGTTCAGTAGTTATGAAGCAATTTGTAGGTGGAGTAGATTAGCATCAGATCATACCGTGAATAGTTCTGACTGACAACGAAACGCATTATCAAGCAAGGGGGATGTCAATGTTAGTCGGTAACTATTGTGAACTAAAGACCTAGTTCAAGGAACTATTCGTCTGGAGGAACTAGAACTAAGGAACTAGTTCCTCCCAAGGACTAGAATTCCCACCTCTAAGGTGGAGTATGCAAAATAATTAATATATTGTTACGTTTTTCGTCGGTTCCGTGTGGATAGAAAGTCACAATTTATTTAAACACTATTTATTTAACACTAATTAACAAAAACAATAACGATAAAAAAAATTATAGAACTATTTACAAACGATTTATAACTAAGAATTTATTTTGAATTTTAGCGCGTCAACTGCACTGGTATATTTATAACTGCCCTCTCTAGGCCACGGCCGCCGGCTTTTTAGATCGTTAGGTGCATAGAGAAGGTTTTCGAATGTTCTCGTATGTACTACTCCATTCCAGTGGGACTCGATCCTTCTCGAATGAAGCATTGCGGTGTCTATGCGATGTTAAGGTCATCCGAGGGCGGGCCATATTGTTAGGTTAGGTCGAGTCCACACCGGTCCGCAACAATATGTATGTAAAATAATTATCAATTATCAGGCCCCAGTAATTCTCAATGGCATTTTCTATTTAGGAAATTAAATCAAGAGGTAATTTTCTTTGTTTAAAATATCGAATAATTATTATTATTTTTTATAATTTTAAAGATTACAATAATTATGAATATAACCTTGAATTTATTTATTTTAACTTTTAAGTTATATTTAAATGGTTTCATTATTTATTTTTACTGAATAAACATTTTAAATTACAACCAGTGCACAGCATAACTTGTATTCAAGCTTTCTAACCGATGATGGTGAGTACTGCCGTCTTTAGTATAACGGAGGCCACGAGTCTGAGACAGCGAAGGGGCCCCTCGAATCTTGGAGGACTGACAAAATCGTGATATTTTGTAGTGGTATTTCCCTGGAACGGTCGCGAAAGTAACGCGGCTAATTTGTGGAACCGGTATTTCCATCACTTTGTCATCATAAGTTGCCTTTTCACTAGTGAATTAAAAAAAGTGGATTTCCATTTGAAAAAAATGATTTATGATAATTTTTTAATCGCTCAATTCCATGACAGCTGCGGCCATTATTATATGACATTCGGCCGCAATGCTTTATTCAGACACAATTTAATTGTTAAAATAGATAGCCTCATGTCTTCTCTTTACGGTACAGTGGCTGTGGTAATCACTAAATTTGACATTTAGGCTACACACATATTTTTGACATGATGTTTTTTTTGTCCAAAAATTATAAATATTTTTTTCCTCAAAAACAGTTAACGTTAGGTATAGAGTGTTTCATATTAAAATTCATAAAATTTTACAGAGAATTTAAGTATGTAAAAAATGAGGGCACCCGTTTAAAATAAGAAAGTTGCTGTCAACTTCCGGTACTTCCCGGTACTTCCGGAATTGCCGCCATATTGGAAATGTTTTTAATCGATAGATCTCGTTGTGAAACAATGATGTGCCAAAAATCTCTGATCTAGATATTGTAGTTCTCTAGAAACTTCTAATGCACGCTGAGCCTGGGACACCCTGTATAAATACTTGAATTTTGTCAACCATTATACATACGTCATTCCATCTTTACAAAATGTGCATTAGAAGTATATCATTATCTAAAAAGACCGGGTGCCACATTTAGCTTCGCCGCCCCGGGCCCCCGACAGGCTTAGTCCGCCACTGATCGTAGGAATCGATTCAATATGAGAAATTGAATCGTGTGATTCGATTCACTAAAAAGAATCGTAATGCCCATCACTAGTACATACCTAGTCTCCTTAGATCCTGAAATACAAGGCGATTTTTAAAATGTTGCATTTTTCGACCTTCTTCGTATCTTGGTTTTAGGTGCGCCACTGAATTTTACTTGGAAATCTCTATGGAGCCCGATTTTCACCTTTTACATAAGTCATAATGGCCGAGTCATGGGGTAAGTCGAAAAATGCAACAATTTCAATTTCGCCCTGTATTTTAGGAACTAAGAGGGCTAGGATAAATATGTGTGTACCATTTTTTTCCAGTTTCACAAAAAAGTAACATAGTAATGTGAAAACCACATCTTTGTATTTCTGCTCATAAACGAGAAAGCCTGTTAAACACGCAAATGGGTCATCCTGTACAAAGTATCACAAAATTTAATTTAATATAAGTTGTGTTTTTATGCTTTTATGTTTATTTTTTTATTGTTGATTATATTAGTTATTCCGAAAATAAATCGTTTTGTTTTAAGTGATTTTATTCTCATCTATACCTACAATAAATTGATAATATGATACCTACTCAGTAAGAAATTAAATTAATACTAACATTTAAAAAAAAGGTACCTAAATTGAGTTCTGGTTGTCTTGACTTGAAGGTAATTATATTGACTTTGAGTCATTTTACTGACTTAACTTGCAGATCATCATGATTTAAGTCAAAAATATAGACTTAAGTCATAAAAACGACTTAAAAAACGTTATATTGATTTCAGTCTTTACATAAATGACTCGAGTTGAAATAAGATGATTTAAGTCAGACTTAAGACTTAAATCATGTGAACGTTATGTTGAATTTGACTTAAGATTTAAATCATTTTGATTTTAGAAATGACTTAAGAGTCCATTAAATATAAAGGATTATACTATATCCGTATTGTAGCACATTTTTAGATAACTTCTTCATTTTTAAGATTTTGATGGTCAAACATCAACAAAATATTCCTTATGTTTGGACTAAATTTTCTCGAAAATAAAGGGATAATTTAAAATTTCGTTACAATACGGCAATAGATTGAAGTTTTGTGATTACAGTGATATATCATTTATATGGTTTTGTAACAAATTGCTCCCTATTTTTTGGCAAATGCTGAGGCTCTTCAAACTTTAATCAAGCCTTAATAAAAGCACGTTTGTATGGTATTTTGGACGTAGCTTAACACGATAGGATCGGGATAAGCCGGGGGCAGATTTCTAAAATATAATATATATTTCCGCTTTACCCGTCGCCTGAGAGCGACCCGAACAGTACTGCGTAATAGACTCTTAACACTTAAGTCTTTTTAAAACCGACTTGTTGCATTTTTGAGTTCTAGATACCACCAATAAACTAAAATTTCTTGTTCGGTGGAATTAGCAAACTCACCTCTAGGCATCCGATTGATATCAATCACAGAATCACCGTTCGATAAATTTACAGCAAGTCCCTCTACTTGGTTCTCTCCCTCGTCATCTTTCCAAATGTCCACCTCCCTCTTCTCCTTCCTTATAGTTTCCGCGCTGCACAGCATCCCGGCTACGATCATAGCACTGCACCATCCGTGCACCACTTTCCTTTTCCACATCTTCGCTGGTACTACAGCCTTGAAATCTATTTATTTAGGAAGCAATTACTCGGATATTGTTCATCCGTATAGAACAAACAGTGCGCTCGCACGCGGCACGCGACGGTTTCTTTCGTCGCGGATCTTCTTCTTCGTGGGAAAAGATGCGAAAAGTGGGTTAGGAGGTTTAGGTCGCTGGGGTTAATGTCAGGTGGACGGGACAGGTTCAATCTCATCTCGTACCGATGGGCAGGTGTTGGGCGAATCTAATTTTTAGTACCGTTATCATGCAGATATCGGTAGTAGTTAATTATAAAGGGAAGCAATAATGTTGCGTTGATAATACTACTGATAATCAGTGGCGTAGCGAGGAAGTCGCCGGCGCCGGTCCAACAAATAATAAAAGACACGTATAAGTATAAAAAAGACTCGTATAGGTAAAAACACGTATAAAATTCATCACAGAACTTTAATTAGCTGATCACTGCGCTCTTATTGTAAAAACGTTACAGCAATCAGCTGCAACAAGTCAGTTTTAAAAAGACTTAAGTCTTAAGTCATTTCTAAAATCAAAATGATTTAAATTTTAAGTCAAATTCAACATAAAGTTCAAATGATTTAAATCTGAAGTCTTTGACTTAAATAATTTTATTTCAAGTCAAGTCATTTTTGTAAAGACTTAAATCAATATAACATTATTTAAGTCGTTTTTATGACTTATAGTCTATATTTTTGATTTAAATCATGATGATCTGCAAGTTAAGTCAGTAAAATGACTTAAATCAATATAATTTCCGTCAAATCAAGACAACCAGAATTCAATTTAAATATATTTTTTTAAATGTTAATATTAATTTTCTTGTATTACCAATTAGGCGATTTTCTTACTAAATTATTAATTTATTATAGACAGATAAGACTAAAACTACATAAAATAAAACGGTTAATTTTCAGAACAACTATAAACACAAAAATTTGTTTTTTTTATAAAATTTTAATGATTTTGTAGTACTTTATATAGATAGATGTCATCGTTTACAGATACCGTATGATCGAAAAAAAAAACGGCGTCCAGTTGGCTGGGAAATGACATTTCCCTTATAAATTTACATATAAAATGACAGCGATCTTCATTTCATAGCCATCGCTAACGCCGTTTATTTTCGATCATACGGTAGATGTCATTGAATACATGTCTATTAAAAAGTGGTGATGTGTTTTGATCGCTATGTAATATATCGATGGCATAAGCTAAGGGCTGGAAGATTTTAAGGTACTCTTCAATATATTCTAGATAAATTTCTTTCGTTCGTTTTTCGGGCTACATAACAGAGTCGGGGATTCACTTGAAAGACAACAGACTTACTACGCATGCGTAACACGACAAATAATCAGAACCGATTCCGGTGCGTCTAAAAAGTGGCTGACCCCTATACCTTTTTTATTTTTTTCAGACAACAAAACGATATTTGGTATGCTAGTTTATGACATAAATTAGGATTGATAGACGTATTCAATTTTTTTCGGCCACTTCCTGTTTCATCGGAAATTACTATACAACTTTTGATTTTTAAATGGCACACTCGGTATTTTTTGACATTTTCGCTTAAATCAGAATCGTATTTTAAATTTTAATCTAGAATGCCATGGCTGTTTTAAAAACACTAATTTTTTATCAAGGACCGTTGGAAAAATATATTTGATCGTCTAATGTTTTTAGTGTCTTATCCTGGCCTGTTATAAAAGATGCCCAAATCGTATTTTTAGTCATATCTCAGTTTTTTCAAATGGAACGAGGGTGGCTCATTAGCATATTTGGAAAAAGAATTTTTTACGAATAATTTGGTACCAGACACTTGGTATTTCGAGTCAAATTGTCGTTATGAATCGCATGTTGCAATTTCAAATAAATCATATTTAGAAATGTCAAAAGTTGACATATGATATGTCAATCTATTCAGAGTGTCATTTTCTATCGAATAAAGTAAAAAAATACCGAGGGTGCTACTTAAAAATCAAAAGTTGTGGTCATTTCCGGTGAAACAGGAAGTGTCCGAAAAAAAATTGAATACGTCTATCAATCCGAATTTATGTCACATACTAACATACCAAATCTCGTTTTATCTATATATCCAAATTTTTTATCTGAAAAAATATAAAAGTTATAGGGTTGAGCTACTTTTGAGACGAACCCGGTATAGCCAGGTTTGAGAAAAAAATATTGAAATAATAAAATATATACTTTATTATGTAACTAGAAAACGTACATTGGCGTACATGAAAATATGCAGCAATTGACGATTTAAATTATGTATAAAAATTGCCCCTATTACAATAGTAATCAAAAAACTGTAAAAAATGAACGAAATTGGGTACCGTAAGTAAAACGAATTGTGATTATGGCGTAAACGGAAGTATGTGAAATTGTAAATTACTGAGCTTTGGCCAGAATAAAAATTAATTTATTTATTCAGAAGCCTCTTAGTAAAGCTTTTGGTAAAGCTTGATGTTCATGCATCCGTTATCCGTTGATTCGATAGTACCGCGGCGCGCGGCGCTCTGATTGGTCAAAGCGTTTTCGCGCCATTTTTCATCGGTAAACTTTTTACTCCAGCTCGTCAACGGAGAAAGATCGTACGATAACGGACGTTTTGATACTTTTTTGACAAATTTAAACTAACCTTAATAAAAATATAATAGTACAAGAGCTAGTATATAGTAACGTCGGGAAAACGAGAATTTAAAGAAAGCTAGTTCTTCTACTTTAACTTCTTTGAATCTTGAATATTCGACTTTCTGGCTTAAGAAGCGTATGATCCGTATGATCGAAAAAAAAACGGAGTCAGTGATTACTATGAAATGAAGATCGCTGTCATTTTATTATGTACAATTATATAGAGAATGTCATCGATCTTCATTTCCAAGCCAACTGGACACCGTTTTTTTTTCGTATCGAGAAATTATGGTTTACGCTCTTTGAATTGGACACCTTATGTTAGAATAGTATATTTTCGTACTTTTGCTTAGGCGTAAAAGTGCTTTACTTTTATGCCTAGGCGTTAAAATGCCTTGTTATCTTGCAATCACGTCACAAAAATTAATACTTTTTTGACGTTTAAATAAACATTTATTTATAAGTTATATAATATATCTAATTAAATTTGAGCAAAAAGAATATTGCTTGCTTCTGTAGATAATTTCTGAGGGAAATTAGGTACGTAAATAAAAAGGGCTTTCTAGGTCAAAAAAGTAAAAAGGACAATTTGTTCCAAAAAAGGACTGTCGTTTTCAAAAAAGGACAGATGGCAACTCTAACTCCGTTGTTTTCTCCGCTCTTCTCTCCTCGACAACTGATGTAGGACCGCACACTAACATGATGTTGCAAATTGAATTATTGTTGAATTTATCATACATTGCCAAACTCTATATTAACAAGAACTGAAGTAGATTTTGTAAACTACCTAGTGAATGTCCAAACTAGCAGTTTAGTAAACTGGCATAAAATACCCTTTGAAAAAAAAGAACAAAAAAAAAGTCACAGTAGCGGTCTCATACATGTATTTAAAACTAAACTATGTGGCACGTGTTTCGCTCATACGAGCATCATCATTGTGAATCAATGAGGAAGATGCATATATTTTATTTTTCGCCAGAAACTGTTCAATTTATTAGAATAAATATGTGTAAATGCAAAAAAAAACTTTTTTCTTGAAAGCAGTACCACAATTTTATAAAGCGGGCCATTAAAATACTATGGATAACATAAACGACGGCTCGTGAATTGAAACGATATTCTATTGGTCTGACGTCACCCGCCGTTCTCGTCGACGCGCGATGGCCAGCAGCAGCCAGACCACAGAATATACTAACGAGCCAGACGTGTTCTGTTTATGTACGTACTACGGTGGCGTACTAAGACATTTTTATTGCTTTTAGCGTTGATCGAAGGAGCTTTTTATGCTTTTATTGTGCAGTTATTATTAGTGTGTGTTGTGTGTTCTGAGAATTTTTTAAGTAATGGCAAATTCCGGTTTTGTAAAAGTACAATCAGATGACTTGCCACAAGTCGATGCTTTTATTTTGGCTGCTTTTATAAATACAAATTTCCAATTTATTTGGGCTGAATTACGAGGCAAGGGCACTGAGTTAATGAATTCCGCGAGAAATGTTCAAAAACTGCCACGTCTGTCCATAACAGAAGACGATCAATATGTCGAACACCTGTAGCAAAATCTCATGTCTTGATTTGCTATTTATTTTTATTGTTATTATATATAGTTTATATTTGTTGATGTTGGTTAAATATATTTTAAATTGTTATAAAATTTTGCATCTCTCATAGCAAATATTATTTTCGTTTTAATTGATGCTCACAGCTAGATTTTTTTGCATTACAGCCGGTGCCGTTCAAAGCCTACTTATTTAAAGCGGGCGAATTTTTATATACTCTATATCTCGAAGAGGAATCGAGCAAAATATCAAGTGTGTTATATTTTTGGAAAAGTAATTTTAAATTCTTTTCAATAAATTAAAAATATACAGGGTGTCCCATATAAAAAATCAAATTTTCTGTTGATAATTCTTAAATTGTTAATTTAAAAAAAATTATACTTAAACTATTAAATTCTACGTAAAAAGGTGCTTTGGAAATGTTTTCATAAAAATACAAAATTTTTCATAGCAAAAAACTTACAGCGATTTGTTAAAAATGCGTATTTTTGAAAAACACCCCGTAACTCCGAAACGGTAACTGATATCGATATACGGTTTTCACCATCATATTTTTGACAAAAATTTAGCTCCATACACCGATATTAGTTTTTGTCTATCTCCTATAGAAAAGGGTGTTTCCATTTAAAAGCGTCGAATTTGACCCACCCTGTAACATTTATTCGGAGAGGTATGTAACATTTATTCTTTGTAGTACTGAGGCATATTTAAGTATAAGTAGGTACCTACTGTTACGAACTTTTATATACTTATAAATTAATGTTAGAAACTTATTTTTCAGATCAGGTAGGGAGGCGTATATGGAGATAATGCTGTAGGTTATGTAGAAGTTAAAAGAGACAAAAATATTTGTTTAGTACGTGGAAAAATAACTTCTGAGCATAGAAAGAGCAGAGCAGTGAAAAAGAAATCGTATAGTAATGAAAATATTATATAAGATGTCCCATAAGCAAACGCCAATTTTTTTTAAACACCCTATATATTTTTGGATTCTTCGGAAATTTCTAGATATTCTAGTTATATTTCATGTATAACATCCTATACCTATCTTCAAATGTTTACGAAATATTGACAGTTGAAAAGCGGCCACTTTGACACTTTGACAAGCTCTATAATCTAAGTCAAGAAAGATAGAGGATAAAGGTTTGCACATTTCTACTCTAGTTTTTCATAAGCTATCTAATAACACTAAGTTTAACTTTTGTCCCTCTTAAATTCGAAGTTAGTATCATTCGGTAGCTTATGAAAAACTAGATAGGAATATGCAAACCATTTTCCCCGATCTTTTTTGGTTCAGATTTTAGAGCTTGTCAAAGTGTTAAAAGGGCCGCTTTTCAACTGGTATAGGAAATTATACACGAAAAAAACCTACAATTTTCTGGAACAACTTTTTTGAGACACCCTGTATAACTAGAATTATTTTTAAGAGAGTATAATATGAAAAACCATGCAACTTTTGTATTTAATGTTTTCTTCTAAAACTTGCAGTTAAGGCTGTAGGTGGGTGTCAAAATATAATGAATAACCCTGTACATTCAAATTTCATATTATAATAAATATATGAACTTAATCAAAATGATCCTCACAACAATAAATCGTAGAAATAGAGGATAATTTCACGTTTTTCTTTTCATCTCTTCTCATGGCCTTGCACCATTTTTTTCTTATAGCATCATTCTTTGGTACACTAAAGAATATATTGTCTGGCGTAGTATAAGTAGTATTTTTACAAAGGGGAACCATGCAGTATTTTTTAGAACTTCCCGACTGTTTTCGCTCATCCATTACTATTTATAAATATCACTAATTACTAATTATGTATTAATTAATACAAATAACTAAAATTTTGACTCGGATTCAACAGCGTTTAAAAGCAAACTGTGTAAAATAAACACGCGTCTGGCTCCGCTCAACCAGAAGAACGGCGGGTGACGTCTCAGCGACAGGGCGCGATAAAGAGCGTTTACCCGGCCATTTAAATTAACAATATTTAATTATTTTATATTAGAGGCATTTCTTAACCGACATCAACGGGTTTTTTGTTCAATTTGTAATTATATGAACTATTTTTTAAAACCATTATTTAAAAACATGCATTTTCCTCATTGCTATTTTAATTGTATTTTTGTAAGCTACGATTTTGAACGCTTTTCTAGGAATACTTTTACCCCTAAATCGGAGCGCAGGACGCCCATAAATCAGATATGGCGTGACATGCTTGAGACGCAGAAATACTTAACAGGCACAAACTCTTAATATGTGTCGTTTTAAAACCTATGTTAAAAGAAATATTATTGGGAAAATAAACTCACGTTATAGTTTTAATATGCATGTATGAGACCGAGACTTTGAGTCTTTTTTTCTTCTTTTATTTTTTAATTTACAAATCAGGTCTTTGACAGAAATGGACGCCTTCTTTAAATAAAATACCCATTTTAGCTCGATTTAGATTGTAAACTAACTACTTACTGGTTAGCAGCTATTTTGCAAGAATGGGCGAATTCCTTCAAAATAAAGGCGTTTTTAATTAGTTTGCAAAATTGCTGGTTAGTTTTAAAAGAACGAATAGATGAGGTAGCAATATTATTATCAGATGCTTTCTTAGCTAAGTAATATTTTTAGACTAATACCGGGATAACTTATTTTCTTCTCTTTTTATTCTTGTCCAAATAATAAATCAATTTAAAAAATATATTATTTATTATATGTACAACAGTCTAAAATATATACACACTTCTTTTAACTATAGGAACAATATTTACAGATCCAATTTACGACAGAGTTTATAATTAATTCACTTGTTTACTCAATTTGTTTAGCAACTTAATTCAAAATCCATACGTAAATCCAGTACCTGGAGCATTGAAAGTCACCCTAGATACCAATGCTCCATTTGCATTACCAGGATATCCGACTTGTAATCCTTGAGGAGCGTATTGTATAGGAGCATATTGGTTAGGAGTGTACTGAGCAGGCGTCACAGGTTGTGGAGCTGCAAAAGGTCCTGTAGCAAAATAAGTGTTTGTCCTCGCTGGAGTAGCTGGATAACTAGCAGGAACAGACTGTGCTGGAAATGAAGCTACAGGTTGCTGACCAGCATACTGATTAGGATCAGCTGCGGCAGGATATTGTTGGCCGAAGTAAGGATTGATGTTCGTGGGATAATTCTGTGGTACAGTATTTTGCGGATAGGTAAACTGAGGATTATATTGAGGTTGCTGTGGAGTAGATTGAGAGTACACGTTCGGTGTATAAGTTTGAGGCTGAGGCCCGGGTAACGTTTGACTAATTATGATTTGTTGTGGTTGAGCAGATGAAGAGGCACGCAGTTGAAGGTTTGATGGGTATTGTTGTATTGAAAGGAATTGGGGATTTGCTTGAACTTGAGGTTGAGGAATTTGCCGCATTGGTTGCGCAACTTGAGGTTGTCCGGATTGGATTAATTGGGAGTTTTGTAAGTTGGACTGCTGAATTTGGAGTTGCTGTTGGGCTTGGTTATCTGAAAAAAAAATGAAAGAATTATAGCTAATACATTTTTAGTGTCACAATAGGATATTTACAATTTTTCAATCAAGCCTTTTTTGAATTTATGTCTATTTATTATCTAATTTATGAAAAAAATGTGATTAAAAAAGGAAAGAAATTTGAAATTTCATAAACTTCTTTAATAACTTGGAGATAATTAGAGATTTGGAATGTTAGCATATGACATTGTGGCATATTCAATTAGTATTGAATATGTCAATCAGGATGGACTGGCATATTCAATTTCCGGCAATAGTTCACATTCCGGCATATTCAATTTCCGGTTTGGTTTCACCGGAAATAACTACAACTTTTGATTTTTAAACGGCACTCTCGGTATTTTTCCACTTTATTTGATAGAAAATCACATTCTGAATTAAATGACATAATATCATATGTCAAGTTTTGGCATTGGCTCTTAGAAAAAAAATGCTAATTTAATTTTCAATTTAGAGTGCCCTGACTGGGTTAAAACCGCTAATTTTTAATCAAGGAGATTTGGAAAAATAGATTTGATCGTTTTTCGTGTCTTTTCCTGGCTAGTGAAAAATCTACCTAATATAGTTATACCTACTATATTTTTAATCAAAACTCAATTTTTCCAAATAAAACGTCTGGTGGCTCATCATCATATTTAAAAACAACATTTTTTCACAAAAAGTTTTGTACCACGCATACTTGGTTTTTTGAGTCAAATTGTTGTTATATTTATTGTCGCGACATTCTAGATTCAAATTTAACATAATATTTTTTTCGTGTAAGTATGAGAAGTTGATATACCACCACACCAAATCTCGTTTTTCTATCTAAAAATATAAAAAATATGGTGTGAGTCACTATTGAAAAACACCCTGTATATATACCGGGTGTGTCTCAAAAGAGGCTCACTCCTATAACTTTTTTATTTTTTAGTTAAAATAACGAGATTTGGTATGTTAGCATATGACATAAATTAGGATTGATTGACGTATTCAGTTGTTTTCGGTCACTTCCTTTTTCACCGGAAATGACTACAACTTTTGATTTTTAAATGACAATCTCGGTATTTTTTTACTTTATTCAATAGAAAATGATACTCTGAATAGAATGACATATCATATGTCAACTTTTGATATTTTCGAATATGGTTTATTCGAAAGTGTAACATGTGGTTCATAACGACAATTTGAGACGAAATACCTGTTGTAAAAAAAGTGTGTGGTATCAAATTATTAGTAAAAAAATGATTTTTCTAAATATGCTGAGTCACCCTCGTTCCATTTTAAAAAAAATGAGATATGATTAAAAATACGATTTGGACATATTTTAACCCACCATCGCCAGGACAAGACATTGTAAACATTAGACGATCAAATCTATTTTTCCAATGCTTCTTGATTAAAAATTAGTGTTTTTAAAATAACCATGGAACTCTAGATTGAAATTTAAAATACAATAATTGTTTATTCAAAAGTTGACATACGATATGACATTCTATTCAAAATGTCATTTTCTACCAAATAAAGTAAAAACATACCGAGAGTGCAATTTAAAAATCAAAAGTTGTAGTCATTTCCGGCGAAACAGGAAGTCAACGAAAACAATTGAATACGTTAGTCAATCCTAATTTATGTTATATACTAACATACCAAATCTCGTTTTATTATCTGAAAAAATAAAAAAGTTATGGGGTGAGCCACTTTTGAGACGCCCCCGGTATCTGTTTACATTTGAAATACTTCTAGTTTTTTAAGCTTACCAGCATCCTGTTGTTGATCTTCATGATATTCCGACTGTCCAGCGGCTTGTTTTAGATTGGCCGGTTCAATTGGTGCAGCTGGAAGTTGAATTTCCGCCAGTGATGATCCGTAAGAAACTAGGGGAGAGTTAAATGAGATATGGGAAACATCAGGAGCTGCAGAAAAACGAACGCCTATAAGTGGTGAAGATGGTGGTGCAACAGAAGGAGCAGCTGCATTTTGGCTGTCTTGTGGATATGCTGCGGTAAAAGCGATAATACTGATACCGATAAGAAGCTGGAAAAATATGACATATTAGGAAGCAGATCTTATTAATTCATAGAGGTACCCAAATAGACTTACTCTTTTATTCATTTTGTTAAAACACAAAAAGTAATCCTTTGAAACGTTAGTGGACAGTGTTGATTTACCAAGAACTCTTGTTATTATATACCTGTCTAATTTTTAAGCAGTGGAGGGGTCTGATGACATTTTTGACCGGTATTACTAATCATCACTTTCCATATAATACTACAGCGAATTTTTTTTAAAAAGAAATAACAATAATTTTATCACGTTCCAACTGGGGCCAACACCCTACTTTTACTTAATCGAGTGTTACCAAAATGTTGATGCTTGATGCCCAATAACTTATGTAACAGTTGGATGGTACGTTCGTGCTTCAGTTACCAAAGAGAAGAGTTATCACCAACCTTGAGACACTTTTTATGTGTAACAGTCGTATAATTAAGACCGTTTGAACTGACCATTGGTTATTTCATAATTTTATATTTTAATACGTAAATAGTGATGAGCGAGACTGATCTTGGTCTTGCCAAGACTAGCGTTTTATCTGCAAAACCAAGACCAAGACCGACAGTGCAAAACTGACGCAAGACCAAGACCAGCATTATAAAGACCAGACAAGAAAAAAGACAAGAGTCTTACATTTTTATATACAATCAAATTTTTTTTGCTAATAAATAACGAAATTTTTATTTCTCGCCCTTATGGTTTAAAATTATTTTAATTTATTGCATTTAGTGTTTTTACCACTTTTTCAGAAAAAAATAATGCTAATTGGGTCCGAATTGTAATCGGGAAACTGGCAACATATTCTGCAGTTAAAAATAAGCAAAAAGTCCGTATAAATGTACGTCCTAAAATGTGTGTCCCAGTGGATAACATACCAAGAATTTACAATTTAAGAAACACCTCACTATGGTATTGAGCAATAAAAAGGACTGCAAGAGAGAAAAATTTGCTCAGTATGTAAAAGACCATACCATAACGTGGTAAAGGAATACTTCCAAAACCAAAGCAGGGACAGGGATAGGAGTATTTGGGCCGAAAACGAAAAACTCCGAACCAATGGGTACCTACGGTAAATCTACGCTATCGAAGCATGCGTACAATTTATTTTATAGGCACTATCCAAAACAGGAAATAGCCATCTTATCCGATAGTCAAGCGGCACTAAAAGCGATCACTCAGTAACCATCAATTCGAAGTTGGTCAAAGAATGCTTAGAGAAGCTGAACAAATTGGGCAAAGAAAATAAAGTCCTTCTACTCTGGGTGCCTGCTCAATAAGGAATAGAAGGCAATGAAAAAGCAAACGTTCTAGCTAGAAAAGGAGTAAACGTTTCACAAACTGGGCCAGAACCGTTCTGCTTTCCAAGCGGAAACCAAATTAAAGCAGAACTGAACACCTGGAATGGTCCATCCGAAACCTGAAATGGGAATCCTCCAACGGTCTAAGACACTCGAAAAAGTTCCTCAAAACTTACGACCGAGAAAAATCAAAGATTTTCCTTGATTTAAGTAAAAACAATCTTCGGATTGTCACGGGGTTTCTAACAGGACACTGTCTCATCAACGAACACCTCAGTAGAATGAAGCTGAGAAACAACGGCAAATGCAGATTCTGTGGGGAAATTGTTATTGGACTGTGCGTGTCATAAATTTTGGTATGGCTGATGTCGAAGATGGAGAGCTGGCCTCTGTGGATACTACTACAACAAAAACTGGACTACTGGCTTTTGAAACTACTGGCTTTTGCCAAAGCCCCGAAACCGTGTGATGAGTTATAACTCGTTATAACTCAAGAAAGGGGAACAAACAATAAATCTGTAAGGTCGTGGTGATTAATCCCCCTCCTATACATTCTACAATCTACAGTGTCTTAAAATTGTTCGTTCTAAAGATACAGGCTGTAGAAGTTTCATTTTTATTTAGTTTTTTTCCAAATAATTTTCCAAATGTAAGGTCAGGTATTGTATATAATTTTCCAAGGTAAGGTCGTTATTTGAATAAAAATTACATTTCATTTCAAATCACACTGTTTTTACGCAAAAAAGGTCTTAGAAAAAAGTAAAAGTCGGTAAGAACAACCGTTCTCGAGATGTTTGGAATCGATATAATCAAGAGATGTCATCACTGATAAAAAATAAGCATGTAAACTAGATATTTCTTCGACTGAAGTAATAAATTTGGAATTTTATGTGTGGAAAAGGTTCAACAGAATAGAAATCAGATATCAATTTTCATTCAAATTTCGAAGATAGTACAGTTTAAATATTGAAAGATAGTTCGATTTTTTTATAGTTAGCGTTCAATCGGCCTTATTTCTACAAATTAAAATAAAAAAGTACAACTAACTCATTCACTGTCTAACGCTGGGTTTAATTAGGATATATTACTAATTATGATGTAAGGACTTTCTTTGTAGTGTGAAATTTATTTATATTGGTCATGAATATTCATTAAGTACGGCCAAAATTTCGGTTCTTACCGCAATCTTTTTGTAGTATCATACAGTATGTCCCCGGATTGTCTTAGTACAACACTTTTTTATTATTGATATTTTGAGAATAATGCATTACATGCACATATCATAATGCACTGTATTTATCTTAGTAACTATTTAAGGGGGGGGGGGGTAATCACCACGACCTTACAGATCTATTATGTGTTCCCCTTTCTTGAGTTATAACGAGTTATAACTCATCATACTGTCTCAGAGCCACAAAACTACTCCTTGACAAAAATCTGAGACGGCTGCACAGAGGTCAGCTCTCCATCTTCGAAATCGGCGGCATCAGTCCTACCAAAGTTTATGGCACGAACGGTTGTCGTCTCGGCGTACTCAGTGATAAGGCGTACTGATGTTTCCCCATTTTCCCCACAGAATCTGCATTGGCCGTTGTCTCTCAGCTTCAATCTACTAAGGTGTTCGCTGAGGAAACAGTGTCCTGTTAAAAACCCCTTGACAATCCGAAGATTGTTCTCATTTAAATCAAGGAAAATCTTTGATTTTTCTCGGTCGTAAGCTCTGAGAAATTTCTTCGAGTGTCTTAGACTGTTGGAGGATTCCCATTCCAGGTTACGGATGGAGTGTTCCAGGTTCTTGAGTTCCGCTTGGAAAATATAACGGTTCCGGTTCTGGTCCAGTTAGTGGAGTGTTCGCTCCTTTTCTAGCTAGATTGTTTTTTCATTGCCTTCTATCTCTTGGTGAGCGGGCACCCAGAGTAGGAGGACTTTATTTTATTTGCCTAATTATATATTTGGCTAAATATATGGAGGACAAATTTCCAAAAAATAGCTTTTTCAAAGTTCAATTATGTCATTTAAGGAATCTTTGTACACAATTTTATAGTTCTAAAGCAGACATTATCCCAGACAATCTAAATTAGTTTGTGACATTATGATTTTTAGGGATTTCATTTCTAATATCACCATAAATGAAGGAATTAATTTCCAAGAATTGCTGTTATTTATTAGTTATGTTGTTATTTACTGTTATGCAGTCAGTTAAGTGCAAATGCTTTTCAATTCTGTGCAAATTTTCATATCCTAGAACCGATTTTAGTAATTTCTTGTACAAAATATCACGATTAATTTCAATCCCTTAGAGCAGCGTTTCTTAACCTTTTTCAGTTCGCCTAAAAGAACCCCTAAAAAATCAAGCACAATTTCAAGGACCCCCTACTTAAAAAAAAACTGAAGTTTTAGGACAAATTATTTTAGCACAAAAAAATACATTTTTATACAAATTAAAAATACTATATCAATGTAAAGGTTGGTGCTGCTCTCTTGCAATAAATTAGTAATATTCGGGTTGATGTTTTTACTTAGTTGTAATCTCAAATCTGATTCCAATTGTAATCTGTTTCTGTATTTGTTTTTGATGTATACAAGAGTAGAGAATGCCTTTTCACCGAGGTATGCGTGGATGAGAAAAGCAGTAATGTTTCTGTGCTTCTTCTGATATTTCTTTAAAACCTTTTTTTAAATTCACCCAAAAATTTGGTAAAGATGTTTTTTTGAATTGGTGCGTTTTCTATTAATTGATTTTCCTGTGCCGTTGTCAAGCCGTTGATATCTGAAACATCTGCGTTGAAAGGGTCTGCTGTCCAGTTTTTATTTCTGTCGGGTTCTGAAAAATATTCCCGAAAAGATGACCTCAAACGGTGGTGTTTGATAATTTCGTCAACTTGCTGGCATTCAGTTATTAATTAAAATGTTCATGTTCATAGATAAGACGGCGGACGACCATACACATACACGCGGACCCCCAGGAGTCCGCGGACCACAGGTTAAGAAGCACTGCTTTAGGGGATAAATTTCCAAAAATTGTTTTTTATTACTTCGTGCCTTAAAGAACCTTTGTGCAAAATTTTGTATCCCCAGAATCTCTAAGGGGGAATTTCGAATGCCTATATTCAACTCTTTTAATATACATTTTTCTATTTAACTTATCAAAATATTTGCCTGAGCAAAGTTTACAGAATTAAAAAAAAATAATAATGTTGCGGACCCGTGTGGACTCACATTCGAAAGCGAGTGGAATAATCTGGAGAGACAGAGAATTCGAGTAAGATCTAGATTGTCTATTTATTCTGTTTCCCTCATACATAAACTGACGCCTGGGGCCTGTGTGTGTGAGGAGGAGAGAAAACAAACAGATCGGTCGACGCGTACAGTTGCCGCGCTAAATTCAAAATAAATTCCTTTTAGATAAATTGTAAATAAGTTATAAATAATTCTTTAAGTAGTTTTATCGTTATTGTTTTGTTAGTGTAAAATAAATTGTGTTTAAATAAATTAGACTTTCTATTCACACGGAACCGACGAAAAACGTAACAATAATAATTTTTAATTCTGTAAACTTTGTGTATAATAGTACTGTTGGCATAATTTATTAGATTACTACGAAATCGGACATCAATATACATAATATAATCATATGCTGTATGTAGTTAATATACAAGTATATTCAACAACTACTTAAAGGTTATTAGTATTACACTAGAGGCAATAAATAGAGCAATTAATAGAGCTCTAATAGAGCCAAATAAAAAACGAGTTTATTAAACAGATTTTATTATTTATATGGAAGGCAGTAAACAGTTTTGGAACTATTGATTCTTTTATAAATAATTTATACTAAATATATGTTAAAACATTTGTCAAACACTTTCTTTCTTAAAAATGCAATAAGTCAAAATTTTGATAATATTTCTTATGGAATACTTAGTATACGTATTTACCTTAGAAAAAGTAACTAAAATGCTCTTAAAAACTTATTGTATTATTAACAAAAAATGTGTTCTAAAAGAGAACAAAGAGTAGGTGAAATACAAATAAATAAAAACAAATCTTAAAAATAATAAAAAAAATAAAACTATTACTATAGGAATACATTCTTGAGCCTCGAAGGTTAATATAAAAAATTACACATAGTATATTAATATTAGTCTAGATTTATGTTTAAATATTAATAACATTTTCTTAATATTGTAAAACGACAAAAACCTTTTCTAACATAATTCAACTATACACCTGGACTTTTCCCTCAAACAGAATAAAATATCTTTTTTTTCTATCATGGAGTTTTCCGTAAGTTTTGATAAAATAATGTTTCAAAAATATCGTCTTGATTTTAAAGTTAATTTTAAAAATGTTACTATACAGGGTGGTCCGAATTGTATTCCGGAAACTTCGGCAGCATATTCTGCAGATAAAAATAGGTAAAAAAGTTCGTATAAAGTTTCGGAGATACAGGGTGTAGAAATTTCATTTTTATTTCGATTTTTTCCAAATAATTTCTGAAGTAACGTCAATATTTAGATGAAAATTGGTGTCTGGGAGTTTTTTGACATGAGAAATTTGATTTTGATGTCAATATGACTCCTACTGGTAGAGGGCGCCACCTACATGTGTTTTAACTGTTTTGAAGCGTAATAACTTTTTGTCCGTACCTGTATAAAACTACCGTGGGAAAAAATATACATCTCTGTGGTTTTTTACGTAAAAAATATCTCTTTGTAAAAATCGGTACGATCAACCGTTCTCAAGATATTTAGAATGGAAATAGTTAATACATGCCATTATTGACGAAAAATAAGCACGTTGAGTAGATAGTTATTTCACTGAAATAATAAATTTGCGAAATTTTTATTTTTTTAAATTAATCATATCTTTTTCTGCAAAAAAATGATGATAAAACAGTTTTTGTTAAACTTTTGGTACAAAAACATTTCAAATTTATGATCTCAGTCCAATAACTATTTAGTCAACATGTTTCGAAATAAAAATGAAACTTCTACACCCTGTATCTCCGAAACTAAACATTTTTGGACATACATCTATACGAACATTTTTACTTATTTTTATCTGCAGAATATGCTGCCGAAGTTTCCGGAATACAGTTCGGACCACCCTGTATATAGCGTTCGAAACTCTTTGTTTATAAAATACTGTACAATATTTGTTATGTTTCATTTTAATTTAATTTTTTTAAACAACTAAATTTACACCCGAAATGGTTAATATTTGATAAAACGATAATAAGCTATAATATACAGGGTGTAGTAAATCAATGAAAATTTTTAGAGCTCCCGATATTATCTACCATCTTATATTAAAGTCGTATACCTAGAACAAACTAAAAATAAATCAAAATTTGTCACTAAGGGTAAGTTTGCTCCAATACATTTTTAGTAAGTGAAATAATAAAATGACCAATTGCAACAGTGTAAATTACTACAAATATAACCAAGAGCTAGCTCTATATTGAAATTGGATTACTTTTATAGACTTATATATTTACGAATTTTCTTAAATTTTTTCTTTTGTCCAATATGAAGGTTATATAATTTTTAGGCACACATTACAAAAAATCTAAACTTCCTTAAACTAAATTTCGAAATATCTATATAAAGAGTTTATTTTTTAAAAATATTTTACTACATTAATCGAGTTAATTTACTGTAATAGGATACTTTTTACTTACATGATATGTTTTAAACGTTTACAACAATTTAAGACTATAAACATTTTTCTACATAGATGTAAAAATACGACGAATTATATGAAAGTTGCTTACATTTTCTTCCATTTGTAAATTTATTTACTGAAAAATATTCTAAGGATGTTGTATCTCAATTTTACATATCCATAAAATAGACAACTAACAAGTACAATCTTTTTGCGCATAATCTCCTTTACTTACATATTTTATAGATATGTGTTCAAATCAAACCTATTCAATCTAAGTAATAATTTATCAGTCTATTTGTAACAGAAGTTTAAAAATTAATTTAAAATAAGCTCTGCTGCATAATCAATTTTTTTAGATTTTTATCAACCATGTACCTACTAATTTACATTTATTAGATACAAGTTTTAGGTAATTCCTAGTTTTTATTCCTAAATACAATATAGAAATATCGTGTAATCTAATAGAAACGCCGTCATAGTAGGCGCAGAAGTGACATTTCAGTTTGAGATTTACTAATGTTAATAACTTTGTTGTTGGAGTTCCTTCCAGCTTGGGCCTGAGTTATTAGAAGTCATTGAAAGATGTTAAAACAACGATAAAACGTTGTTAATAAAATAATTGATAAAAAATGTTAAAACAGCGATATATAAAAATAATTTCCAAAGGTAAAAATGTATAGTCCGATTTACCAAAGAAGACTATTCTATCTTATTGAATGCTCTAAAAATCTAAGGAAAAAACAGTTGTTACAATACAAGTACCTGTATCATTCTTCAACAGAAAATAAAACGTGACAAGAAAAAATCATTTATCCTTGTTTGGCTCAGGAATAGAGCCTTCCACAATTAATTTAGAAAGTTGTCTTAATTTAAATGCTTTGATAAAGATCTTAATCATAAACAATTATTACTGTTGCTGTAAAGATATTTAGCTTTCAGAAATAAGCAAGCTCATACCAAAATTTCATTTCACGCTTTATGTCACCACGCGCATTTCCAACACGCGGTAGAATTTATTCTATACCCGGCAACAGAGCTTTTTAACCTTAAACTAATCAACTACAAAAACAAAATTAAATTTAATAAGCGTATTACTAAAAAGTTCTATATTTATTTATTCACCGAGACCAAGCGGTCTCCGGCATTTCAAAATAAAATAAAACTTACAATCGTAAAAACACTACTTAGACACTATTAACGATAATTAAAATAAAAACCATTCTAATATTTGTATACGACATATACATTAGGCCACTTTAAAAAGCGCACCTAATTTCAGTTTTTGACGGTGGTACTAGTACTAGCGACGTTGCCACTATTGTTCTTGCTCAGTTCTTCGCTTTTGATAAAGTCTATGTCTGCGTACACAAAAGTGGTTTCGTTTGAGGGCGCCGCGGAATCGTTTCGCACCGTTCTGGGGCTTTTCCTGTCCTCTGGATCGGGGTTGGTAAGATCTAAACTGGCATAATGTAGCCTGACGGGGTGCGCCTGATCGATTCTTGCCAGGTCGGCTAGCGTCGGCACGCCTACAACCGTCGAGGCGGATGAGCTTGAAGAGTACACGCTGGAGTTTGAACCTGAAAATAGAAATAATTAAATTAAAAACATATTAGAATAAATACTGTTGTAACTCTACATTTAATATAGTTATTTGCATACCGTGCTGGCAACTGTTACTTTTGGGTCGGTACTTACATGTGTGGAAGTAAATCGCATAGGGATATTATTAAGTCGGAGTGAGAGAAATGCGACGGTGTGTTGTAGCGGCGTTACCGGTACGCCTTTCCCTATCAGGTAAAGTAAAATCACGATCCCAAACCGCTTATTTTTAAACGAATTTTTTTCCAAAAGATAACTAGATAAAATCATTAGATATGTTTCTGAGCATCTGAAATGGTATTATAAATATATCGTTAGTGTGTCCATTTTTTTATAACGATAAAACGTCAGCAATCGCGATAATTTAAAAACTGAACTTTTTAACATACGCCATAACTTAAGAACCACTTTAGATATTGAAACTTTTTTTTATTTTGAAGATCGGATCTTTTACAATATGTTTAAATAAGAAAAAATCGATAAGATTGGTTTTTCTATTCAAAAATTTTAAACAACCCATCCATTTACTTTTAGTGCATAGTAATTTTCAGCAATCGTGTAACTTTTTTATTTATAAAGATTTTCCGCGAAGAAAATATAGCAGAAATGTTATGAAAGTTTTTGAAAAAACTACAATCAATTATTTTTAATAGATTTTGAGATATCGATTCATTTTGAATTCAGAGTTCAAATAGCGCAACCACTGTCGAACACCAACTCAATTCCACTTATTTTTACCAAAAATGCAAGTGTTTCTAACTTGCACTTATTTTTTTTAAGCTATAGGGAAAACTACAACGACAACGAATTAATAAATAAACAAATAAAGTATCGCGAGACGTAATTAAATCGTGAAGCTGAACGCATGATGTACACTTTTCCCTAGAACTTTAAGTACTGACAGAGGTACTGATTAGGTCGACCGGTGGACTGCGACAAATCTGCTATATCCCCTTCCACGTCTCTTAACAATATGCGCAGTTTCTCGGTTTAGTTCATACGTTTGGCAACGTGTTTATTGTTCTCTCTTTGTTCAGTACATTATAAACCCATTGTACTCTTCTTAAATACGGAAATCTCGACCCAAGACTAACCTTTGCCAGCCCTTAGTATTCAGCCCAAAGCGGCGGCGGCGTAACAAAGATAATAAACTGATGAAGTATTTCTCAAGAAAAGAAGAGGAATGAAAACCGAGAGCTACATAAATAGAATAGAATACACTTATTGTATATAAATAATGTAAATAGAATACACTTAATATACTTATGTAAGACAATAAGAAAGAGGATTGCAGAAGACATTAAAAACTACAATAAAAAAGTTGTATAAACTGCAATCGAAAACAGAAAAAGATATACGAACGCTAAAAAATACCTCATGATCGGAAAGAAGCAGCTAATCGCATTAACACACAACACCATCAGAATAACAGATAAAAACGAAATAATAAACATGATACCAAGGTTCTACTGTGATCTATATAAAGCCTCAGAAAACATACATGAATAAGAAAGACTGCCCCTACCACAAGATGACGCCCCATAAGTTCTCGTTAGAGAAGTAGAAAAGGAGCTTCAATATATGAAAAATGGAAAAGCAGCAAGAAACGACGGAATAACAGCTGAAATACTTAAGTACGCTGGTAGGATAACTTAATAAAATCCTAGCATATATATATGTTACGGTTAAGGGCCGAAATAAAGTTAATCTCAATATTACCCAGTTAATCTCGAGAATAACACAAAACAAAACAATCAAAAATAAAACCAAACCCAAACATTAACTTGTTGTAATTAACCGGATATCGAACTTTAACTGTAACATATACACCAGTTGTCTAAGGAGAAAACATATACTACAAGACTGGAGCGCCAACATAATTCTAATTCATAAGAAAGAAAGTAAAGAAGGTATCAGAAATTATAGACCAATAAGCCTACCTTTGGTAACATACAAGATATTTACAAAAATAATAAACAGCAGAATACAAAACAGGCTAGACGCTGCACAACCACGAGAACAGGCAGGCTTTAGAAACGGCTTTAGCACGATTGATCATATACATACACTAAGAGAAACTATCAGCTGAGCAAAAGAATATGAACTTCCACTAGCCATAGCCTTTATAGACTTTGAGGAGGCTTTCGACTAAATATCTAAGGCAAAAATAGAAGCCCTAGCGAAACAAGGTACGGACAGGCGAAAATATACAAAGAAGCGAAAGAAGAGTAATAAAACAACCCCAGAGTTCCCAACTGGCAAAGCAGGAGTACGACAGACAAATATTCCGTCAACTGTACTGGACCAACAAATGACTAAAAATAGATGGAGAATATCTTACCATCTAAGATTCGCTGATAACATAGTCCTAATTGCCAATAGTCCTCAAGAACTACAAGCACAAATTAATGAACTAATTACAGCCATCAATAAAGTGGGTCTCAAAATGAATTTAGCAAAAACTAAAAACTAAAGTAATGGAACTGGTGGAAAGAAAAGACATTCTAATAAACAACATAACACTGGAAATAGTAGAACATTAGGACAACTAATACACAGCTCGGGATCTCTACTACCAGAAATCAACAGAAGAATTAAGTTAGCATGGAGTACTTATGGAAGAAACTCAATCATATTCAAATCTAGAATGTCACTCTATCTAAAATAGAAACCATTCGACCAATGTGTACTACCAGTCATGACCCATGCATGCGAAACCTGGACACTTAAAACGGACATCATAAAAACGCTCAATGAAACGAATTATGCCGGGAATAACCAAGAGAGACCATAAAAGAATAGAGTGGATACGACAAAACACCCAGGTAATAGAGTCATCCACAGACTCAAATCCCTCAAATGGCAATAAGAACGGACGACAAAAATTACAGCATGGTACCGACGAGGAATTAGGAGAACCCTCTTAAGAGATGTCGAAGAAGACCGAACCTGAGATGGGACGGTGATATTAGGAATTAGCAGGGATAACTTGGGCCCGCATAGTCAACAATATACATATAATAATGGGCCCAACTACAAAGATATTATCTAAATATGTGAGGGAGGCTACACCATAATTGGAAATGGTTGAATAAGATATGATATACTGTATTATTCAGATGGGGTAAAGAGATAGACTAAACATATAATTTTAGAATATAAAATCGTTTTTTTACTCATTAAATGAGATCGAAATTGAAACGAGTTAATCAATTTTCCGTAAAAATATCAATTTCTTATATACGAACCTAGACGTGATGCCAGTCCCTCTGAGCAAACCGAAGGCGGCCTTGAATTCTTCTCCGATCCAGATATGGATGCCGGCCTCTGAAGTGGCGTCTTAATGTTCTCAGAGTTGGAAGAGTTCGGTCTGGAAATTTTGGCAGCTGGAGAGACTGACCCCGAAACTGACCTGCGGGAGTCATCTTCTACATCCATATTGGCTTCTTCCAGAACTCTGTCATCTAACAAAAAATAAAACGTTAATATCTAGAATTATTATTCAACTCTCTGAATGTATACCTAATCTTAGTCTGTCTGGAACCTGATCTCCCGGTCTCGGACTTTGTATCCTCTCGTCCTTTTCTCTTATTGGCCTAAAACCTAAGTTCTGTCTGTCGGTTAAGGCCACCGTTGACAAATGCATAGACAAAGGCGAGGCAGATCCCGAGCCGGTACCCGTTTTCGTTCTTGGTAATGTCGTGGATTTTGTTGGCAGCGTTCCAGGTTTCATAATCGCGTAGTCTCCCACTGTATCGACGCACGGAGATACTAAAGTAACGGGAGCCTTAGGGGCATTGGCACCCGGAGGACAATAATTCATGTATGGAGATTCGTCCACTTTGCTCGCCTCCAGAGGCTGCGAGTTTGTTTCGAAATCCATCATCGCGTAGGCGTCTTCGTCCGGTCTCTTCTTACTGCTAGCCTTGTAAGGAACGCTAAGGATTGATACGGGTACTTTGACACCGGAAAATGAAGGCGTACCGGCCTTGCTAGTACTAGCGGGCGAGCTAGGGCTGTTTAAGCTAAGAGGAAACATCGTCGAAGAGCTGGAAGGTGTAGTGGTTACGCTGGAGCTAGTGCTGGAGTTACTTTTTGAACCATTAGTCTGTAAATTCAGGATGTTTGTCATGTCAGGATTAATTGTAATTTTGTACAAGCTGTCCCAATATTCTGTGGACATAGACATTTTTTTACAGCAAACAAAAAATGTAGTAAATACTAGGAGGACCGTTTTACGAAAAAAATCAGTCGTCAGTGGAGTTGGAAAATATTTCTACTAAAAATTATGTAGGAGTGGGGGTAGTTTGCACAATTCCCATACTTTTTCTTGTTTTTTTTGTGAAAGTCAAATGTTAAAGCAATTAACCAAACATAGGCACCCCAAATCTCATTCAAATCGGAATATCGGTCTTAAAATAGCTTAAAAAAAGTCTAAAACTAAACGTTCTCCAACCCAGTGTGAGTACATATCAATGTAAAACCTCTGACGCGGGGTAGGGGACTCAAAAAACTCACAATGTTTTTGGATGTTTATTTCAAAATTTAATTTGATTTAAAAATTGGGGTACTATTGGGGGATTAAATGAATCCCGAAACATATCGCCCCAATTTTTAAATCAAATTAAATAAACATCCTAAAAGATTGTGAGTTTTTTGAGTCCCCTACCCCTCGTCAGAGGTTTTACATTGACCTAAAAAATGTGTTTATTTTGTTAAAGTTTGATGTCCTCTAACGGCCAAACGAAGTATTTCTGTATAGAGGTGCCCAATGAACTTATTCTGATTCCAAAATTACGTAGTAGTTCTATGTCCACGGAATATTGGGACACCCTCTATTATACACATATTACACTTGAAAAGTAGCAATCGGGAATATATCTTAGGCAAAAAATACTGCTAGGAAGATTTCAATATGTGTTTGAGAGGATGGTAGAGGCAAAAAAATGAAGTACTTATTGACTCACCCTACCTCTAGAGGCAAACCGTCCTAACTACTAACTTTTCATTGTATTGGCACAGTTAAAGCTAGTTATGGGAAAACTGATTAATTTCAATAATCGAGTACTCGAGTTTCAAGCGAATGCAATAACCGAGTGCTCGCTCGAGCGAATCACTCGTATTTAAATATACGGTTTTTCACCCGTGCGTCGGTTGTTGTACAGTACGTCTGTCCGTTCTGTAGCTACGGGGTATCCGTGAGAGGGGAAACGATATTCTCTCGATGTTTTTTGTAAAAAATTAGACGACCCGTCCCATCAATAAAAATTCGACAAATTTGCAAGTAGCCAATAAAACGAGTGGGCGGAGCGATTTGCGGTGGCGGACTCGTCAAGTCGACGTATAAAATATATTGCTGTTTATTTAAATGTTTTTTGTCCGCATTCCTTTCATAGACACAGCAGACGTACTGTAAGTACTCGTTAACGCCAAGCGCCAAGCAGTAAGTTGCGTGCGTAGGGCACATATTCTATCGGTGATGAATGGCAAGTAGCAAGCGGCGAACGATTCGCTTGATCGCTTGATTTAGTTTATTTCAAAGCATTGTCGATGTAGGTCGTAAAATTTTCTCTCAGATACGCAACGGATAAATATATATACGGCGTCGTATAAATTTGCTACCTGCAATGTATGTAGAAAATTCGCTCCGCTTTTTATCGAGTATGTCACATTAAAATCGGATTTTAATTTATTTCATTCTAGGATCGCATGCTTTCGTCGCTTGGTACTCGTCACTTGCATCGCTCGTTCACAATCGAGCGATGTCGGTTATTTCAATAATCGAGTACTCGAGCGAAATTTCGCTCGAGTGATCCCATCACTAGTTAAAGCACACACCTCTTTCTTTTAAAGTTTTTCAGCAAAGTTTAGATCGCGTGATTTTTTCATATGTCGGTATTTAAAAGTGTTTTAAAAAATGTTTTTAAAATCTAGTAATGCACCTTAGGTTAGACAAAAATAATATAAAATTCTGAAATACTCGTTAGAAAAACCAGTGTATCAGTATTTCAGATCTTCCTGAAATTCCGGATTGCAATTTTTCAAATTGTCATCATTTCATATTTATGATATTACTTACAGCTGCCTTTCTCGGAGACTTTTGTCTTGGAAGACTGGAATATGAACTTAATGGGAGATGCATCTTTGACGTTGTACTGGTAGGCGACAGTTTCCCTCCCAACAAAGACGTAATGGACAAAGGACTTGAGTTTTTCATGCCTTGATTATTCGACGTCGTGTGAATGGATTCGGTTGCGACCTTCCCTTTCCTGCATCCGCATTCTTCGCACCACTCAAGTGCGCACCGGACATATTCAAATAATCACCGTGCGGGTCCACGCAGCTATCCAAACTGCTCTGTCGATGATGCTGAATATTTCCAGGGATCATCCTGACGTATCCATCGATATTGTGAGAGGAGGGTTGAGGTTCCGCCTCAATATATCTCTGGGGCGCGGTTTCTAATTGGGGCGATGAAGACATCTGAGAGCTGAATGAACTTGTCCTGTCGGGCCGACGATTTCTTCCGGACATATCAAGGTAGTCTGCGTTGTGGTCGGCGGTGTTGTTCCAGAAACCTGGAGAGGAGACAGCGCGCGACGATGACGAATTCGAATTGGCTCGCCGCCTCGTCTGATTCATGTCCACGTAGTCGTTGGTGCGATGATTCTCGGGCAAATTGGCCCTTCCAAATAGCCGAGCATATTCCGCTAATGGCATTGTATTTCGGGGACTGTTGCGGGCTGGACTAGATCTGAAAAAAAATAAAAATAACATTTATTTAACCTTTTTATTATTTTCGTACATAGATAATTTTTCTGAACCCCTATCTTTAAACCACACTAAAAGTTATAAAAATATCTAATTTCAGTTAATCTCCCTTAAGTGAAATCAATAGAAAAAACATACATGTAATATTTATATTTGTATGTAATTCATTTTCGTTAAGTAACTATTAAAATATATACATATACAGGGTGTCTCAAAAATAAGTGCAAGTATTTTAACTGGTAGTATATACCGGGTTCGAAACATAGGAATCATCCTCGTTGGAAACATAGGAAATCCCATGCAAATTTTGAACTGTTAAAATATTGGCTCCCCTATTGATTTTACAGAGAAGTCGTAAATGGATTTCTTAAAGGTATATATACAAATACAACCAAATCTGAACAATTTTGGACCAGTCGATTTTGTGTAATTTAAGAAATATTTCATCTATTTCTATATTAAAACCGAACAGGTAACGATCAAACACCAGTCAAAAACCGACTTACCTTAGGTTACTATGATTTTGTCATTGACAAAAGTAATTTAATTTTAATAACATTTTAATATTCAGGGGCAATTAACCGAAAAATGTCAGATATACAGTCTAAGCTATTTCAGCGCGTAGTGTCATTTTCGCATGCTCACTTTTTTTGATGTGTATAACAATAAATAATTACTAGTACTGGGTATTACAATTTTATTAAAATTAAGTTACATTTCAAAACGACGCGACGTTGACAACTTAAGGTATGTCGATTTTTGACTAGTGTTTGATTGTTAGGTTAGGTTATTTAAAAAATCTTTTTACGACTACATAATAAAATCAATAGGGGAGGCAATATTCAAACAGTTTAAAATTTGCATGGGATTTCCTATGTTCCCAACGACGATACACCACCCGGTATAGGTCAACCTCAGAAATATGCCCATGAGTGGAAGCTGTTGAAAATTTTATATTTTTCTTGACATTTTCCTGAAAATATTGAAAAACTTTTGAGGGTCGCTTGTTCAGTTTCCGGTTATTTGTTTGTAGTGCTTCGAGAGAATGCAATGTTGCCACCTTTTACATTATCTACATTCTGTATGTTTATAATTAAGTTCACATTTTTAAAATTTCTTAAATTAATTTTATCCAGTGTAGATTTTTTTATCATTGTAGATTACTATTAAGTATAGTGCAACGTCTACTATTTTAAATACCTTTTTTACAGTTTAATAAACTGAAATAATGAAAATCTAAATAATGAACAATTATAGCAGCTTTTTTTCGCCATATTACGAAATATTTTCATAGTGCTTACTCTTTGGATCAGAATTTACCTGTATTTTCTCCAACATATCCTTAAGCAAACACGTACACATCTACATAACAATTAAACTGAGCATCACATATTTTAACTTTTCGCAGAATATTATTTTAATTTTTACATATCAAACAACTCTACATTAATATCTACATAATAAAAACTTTCTTTACACAACTTTGAACCGGTGCGGTGGCATATTAATTTATGATATAAATATTCCGAGATTGACATTGCATCAAGACGTAGTCTTCTCCCACCGATGAGTCCAATGATACTGAACACTACTGAATAAATCAAATATTTCTTCACCTTCTTTTCGAACTTTTTGAATCAGCGCCCTCTATTAGGTATGTAAATAGTCATCGTTTGACCTACATTTAACAGATCAGCTGTTTGAATTTGAAGTTATCCAGTCCATTTGAGATTTTGTTCAAAACAGTTAATCTCTGACAAAACAAAAAAAAATAGGCGAATGTAAGATAAGCCTCTAAAAATACTTTTATTACTTAAGTAGAAATATAAATTATTTTGGTGTGTATTCACAAAACAAGAGTGTGAGATGACAGAGGCGTGGGAAAAACAGAGGAGTTTAAATTCTCAAAAAATAATCCGAATTCAGATGCCATATTAATGTATTTTATGCTAAATACACGTGGGCATTTAAGCGTAGTGCTGTCAAGAATCGCAGTGAAATGAAGAGTTGTTATAAGTGTAGAGTTGCAGTTTTTGGTAAAGTGATAAAACGATCTATCTGAATCTGAATTTCCCAAGTCGTTTTTAAATCTTTCTAGTCAATGTCTAACGATGTGTCAACACTGGGCGTCAAACAAGCCGAGATCCAGGTAATTGCTTGGTATTTGCAGCTGATTATCGATTGCTGCCGGTGCCAAAATAATTCCATTATTTTTTTAAATTTTCAAAGTTAAATAACTCAGTTATTATTAATTTATTTTAAGAATGGTAAAGAGAAAATTTCTTTCTTTTGGCCAGATCTACCACCCGATAAAATACTTGCTGCTATTTCTGGGACATCTTCTATAGTGTTATTAAACTTACCCTGACATATCCATGTAGTTTTCTCTAGTGGAATTGTTACCACTCATATCCATGTATGGAGAGAAACCATTACCGATGTGAGGGGTATTACTGTTGTTGCCGCT